GCATTGTTGACGCACTCGCCGGCGGGCACCCCGGCGGGACAAGCCGGAGTTGTACTGCAGATGCACTGCCAGCTATTTCGATCCCCGGTCAGCACTCCCGGGCCGGCGAAAGCGATGTTACTGCTGCCGGGGCAAGAGCAGCTCCCCCCGGTCAGGGTCTCCCCAGTCCCGCACGCAGCGATGTAGACCCTCGTACCGGGATACGGGCTAGCCGCGTGCATGACGTTGGTGCTTACGATAGAAAGGCGCGACTCGGGTGCTGTACGGGAGAAGGGGCAACTTGCGAGTGAGTAAGAATACTCATTTACGTGAATAGAAGGCGCGAGAGCTTCATCGCGCCGGTTCAGATTCGGGAAGAAGGAAGAAGAAACATAGAAAACTGGAAAACTAACGGGAAAAAGGGGATCTAAATTTTAACATGATGGAGGTGATGTACGTCCTGAGCAAGTGGCTCCAGTCGCTTCGTTGCGTTCACTGGCATGTCCAAAGCAATCTTGCGCTGGGGATTTCTTGTCAACGTACTCATGCAAGAGGTCTGCCTCTTCAGACAAGTCGAGTCACTGATGTTTCACCCCCGTATCAGCTGTCCGTTAGCAGAGAGGGCCCCACAAACTTCAACCATCTTTTAGATTGGAAACTTTGTCTTTGTTTCAAGCTCTTCTCGGCGATGGAATGCGGCGACGTTTTTTCCCTTTGGACACGGTTCGTTACGACCATGCTTCCGAGTCTCCTTCGACAAGATCCGGGCTTCTAGAAGCGATGTAGCAAGGGGACTCCAAGAGGCCTTTTTTGTGAATCAGGAATCCGCGCTCCGGGATGCTCCTAAAACGTGATCTCATGCCTAAAGCGGCGCAGCTAGGGCATTCGAAGAGCATCATCAACTGCCGGCAAGGGGTTGTGATCGAAGAACAAAGCGGATCCTTCAGGACTTACCGCTAGTAGCGGTAGGAGCAGCAGTGTTGGCCGGGGTGACATTAATGCTTGTTCCGGGGGGTAAGGTAGCCAAGGTGCCGGCCACTTTGCTGACGTGGCCGCCAGGCTCGGTGCGGCACTCCGCGGCGTTGGGGAAAGCAGCCAGCAATACGACCCATGACAACATCACAAATCTGTTCATACCTGCAGCGCAAGACTGGTTTTCAACGTTACAAGCGGCGAGAGAATCGAATAAAGGCCCTTTCAGCTGATTATTTGAGTACTGGGTATACCTGAAGTTTCGCCAATATTGGCTAGCAGGTCTGCTACAGGATAAGCATTACGTATATGGTGCAACCGAAAGGTCTGCAAAACGTTCTGACTCTGAGTCGGCAGCCGTCAACCTCTTTCACCAACGACGGTTCGACACATATATAGAGGAGAAGCCAGACACTTTCTGGACAAAGCACTTGAGAGTCAGACACGCCCGGTCTCGACCTGAGCACCTGTTGAAATCAGGCAATTATACGCACATGTTAAACAGCCGCGCTTCAAAAGTGCGCCGCCTGACAGGTATCAACCTCGCTTGACTCTCTTGAGGAGCTTGAGAAATGGATGCTAGACCAGATCTCCTGTTCAGACAGGCATGTCGATGTCCTCTCAGGGCGAATCTTACTTGTTGAAGCACAAATGGCAGCGTTTTAGTACTGACTTGGGGAAATCAGACAACGGTAGCAATTGTCTCAATTGTAGTCGCTGAGACAGAACCACATGGTTTCTTTTCAACCTTTTACAGAGTCGACGGCCTAATGAATACAGCCACTTCTCCTTTCTTACATCTCCTTCCAACCGCCATTATGCTGCTGGGGGTGTGAATGTCCTCAACAAAGATAAATTGCCGTTTTATGATTTTTCTGCAATGAGCGACTTTCTTCTCAACAGGCGTTTTATCAACGTTACAGCAAGGTGCCCATTTCTTGATGGCCCAGAAAAAGTACGGAGGCTTTTCCACTTGTCTTTTTCGCCCACCTGAAAAAGGGCAACGTTTGCAGCCGGATGGCGCCATGCAGGCTCTTGAAGTAGATCCCGCGCAAAAAGCTGTGTACTTGGCGACTCAGCGCAGAAGCTCTTCCAAAGGATTGGAGAGATGCCGCACTTGCTATTGGGACTATTCGCACAGACAGCGCGCTGATCATGAAACGTTGAATGGATGCGGAAGACTACTAGAAACTTTTGGTGGGAAAGGCTGGCAAAGTACGATTTCGCAAGCAAGTCCTGGCCTGATAGCTGGGGACGCAGAGTGGCACCTGTACCTCTCCTCTAGATCAGCTCATGACTCTTATATTAGACTCTACCAACTTTGTCCTCGATCAGTTTCTGGATTGATGATGCTTTCTGCAATGGTCTTGCGCTGAACGTGGCCAGCTCAAGAAAGATGTCGTGCCTTCTACTAGCTGCTTGGTTGCAGTAGATCAGCTCACTCATAATACTAGACTCTATAACCGATGTTCTCGAGTGTTTAACGATGATGCTTTTGAAACGTGGCCAGCTCAAGAAATACCGGTATGTCGTGCCTCGCAACCAAGGTTGGCTGCACCGCTTTTCTGAATCCTTTCCGACGGTCTGCCCGGATGATATTAGTGTAACAAGGGGCTGCCACAGATAAAAAATGCCAACTGCTAACTGCGCGCTGAGTGAAAGCCAAAACTATCTCAAATGAGCTTTGTCGAACGTGCCGCACTACTAGTACTAGTGCAGCAGTCCGACCGAGAAAGTTGGAAAGTCAACGTCAGTCCAATTAAAGTTTCGATTCATATGCTTGTTTAGCGTCAGCTCTTGAAAGTGCATTATTTACTGATGCGGAGCTGCCAGCAGTACATCTCAGTGGTGTGACTGGTGTCCAGGCCTGGTCTGCCGTTGAATTCAATGGGTGCTGACGTCACCTACGGTGGAATGCAGCGCAGGGTTTGAATTTTGACACATAAATTCGAGAGTCGGAGTACGAAATTGTCACCAACTTTTGGCCGGTACCGGCATTGTACCGGCCACCCTTCGTTTAATTTTCAGCCGGCCGACTGCAAATATCTACCGGTCTGATGCTTTTGACCACCAATTAATCCGAGCCGGTTCGGCGGTGGATGTTGCCGGTTTTCCGGCCGAACCACAGCCGGCTAATAGGCGCCTTCCGAGGCACCGGTCGGACCGTGCTCCAGCCGGCTGGGTACGCAAAAACAACACGCCATATAATAAGTTACAGCACGTACCGATGTCGTACCTTTATTGCTGACGGAATAGAAAGTGTACGTAGAGTCAACGCTTTTGAGTTGGCAGCTACGTCAGCGTCAACAGCTGCAAAAAGCCCCACTGCGTATTAAACTACGTCCGTATATAGGTACTAAAGGACTCGGTACTGAGACCGGCGTCTGAGCTGAAAGGTCAACTCCAAATCAGCAGGATTGAAACGGCCAATCTCCCTTTCATCTTTGATGCCCCTTGATGAAGACGGTCAAACAATCACAGCTGTGAGGTTAAAGCTGACAGTGTCTGCCAGCTATGCCGCTTTTAGAATAAGTATACCACAGCAGCCATTTGATTCGGGGCGGCAGTACTAAAGAGCTGCTTATATACTTGTACAGACACTGCCGGTTTAAAAGACTGATCTGACTTGCACTGCGGCGCCTCGATTGCTGCGCCTCAAGCATTCACTTTTCAGTAGCGCCCACTACCTACATGTGGCAGCGCCTCTACAAGTTCAGCTTAGGGATAGACCTGACAGCGTGAAACTAGAAGCGGTGTCACGCAAGTCGCAGCCACATATTGCACAAGCTTGGAGTAACTCGCCAACTCGCAACCTCTTGAGCAATTTGCTTGAGCTCGCCATTCACAGCGTGCTGAAGGCGCATCGAGCCAGAAGCGGAGCGCGCTTGAGGACGTACGTAGTAATTGAGACTTCATTCTGAAGGAGAAGCTACAAGCGCCACCCGTTATAGAACTCCACGAGTTTCTGATTGTCCTCGTCATCCTCGGTAGCTTTTCCTGGTCCAAAAGAAACGTTCTGTTTTCCGTGATCGGCCATCCACTGTGTCAAGCATTTTGTGCTAGTCGTCATTGTAGCAGGTCCGACTTGTCGCGAAAAGATTTGACTCTGAGTTGCCTACACTTCCCGTGTGGTGGGACCCACTTCAAGAGACATGGCGTCCTGCAAACGTTGCCCTTTTCCAGGTGGGTGAAAAAGGCCCGAATTCGAAGGTCCAGTGGAAGCAGCACTCCATTTGTGTTTCTGGTCGAATACTGGGCGCCTTGAGGAGAAAGGCTTGTTAGGATGTGGCAGGTGCCGTTTGCTAAACCTGCTTTTAGAAAAGTTTGGTAGCGGAATTCTGGATCCCGGCAGCTCAGCGGTTTTGGCACGAGGAGGAGAGTTGGGGGAAAGAAACGGCCAGGGTGATTAGGCTTTATGATCTATCAAACAGGTCTACAAAGCTTTCCTTAAATATGATCTGATTGCCTTCAATCGACACAATTGCTACCTACAAGTATTTCACCAAGGGGTCTGCGGTCTCTCTTATTCCTCTCTCGACAATCTCAACCAGTACTAAGGATTTCTTTGCAAGAACATCATCTTGTCTGCCTGAACATGAGCTAGGATCTTTTAGCACTGGTTTGTCAAGCTCCTACTTGAAGTCAACCGCGCGGTTAAACCTACTGGGGCAGCACCAGTTTGGAACGCCTGTTTCAGCAAGCCTTGCACTGACGTGTTAGCGGTCTGATAAGGTGCACTGAGCTGAGGTTGAACGCGTCTGACTCTCACGGTAGTGCTTTTCTGAGCATGTGCGCCCGAGGAAATACTAGCTTCTCATCGTTTGTGGAGCTCCGTTGATGGAGTCTTCAACTGTCAGCTAGTCGGACCAACTCAGAAGAATAAGGCAGATAAAGTCAAGACCCATCGGCTGCCCCTTACTTGTCGTAAGGATGCAGAGTCACTACTAGCTAGGCTGATAACCTCAGCCGTATAATTGCACAATCAGCTGACTGAGCCTTCACTCGGTTCTTTTGCTGCGTGTAACTCTTGTGAGTCCTACGCTGCAGCTATGAACGAATTTGCCTTGCTGTCCTGGATCGTCTTGCTGGCTGCTTTCCCCGACGCCTCGGAGTGCCGCACCGAGCCTGGCAGCCAGGTCAGCAAAGTGGCCGGCACTTTGGCTACCTTATCCCCTGGAACAACCATTAACGCGCCAGCCAGCACTGTGGCTCCCAGCCCTACTAGCGGTAAGTCCTGAACGGACTTAAGCTTCTCGCTTTGAGATCTGGCCTGTGCTACTTGATTGTCCCTGAGAGGGCGTGCGTTACTCCCCTCGAGCAATTTGGATCGATCAGCACTCCAATCTTATCCGCAAGAAGGGCCCCTCCAATCTCACGCTTCTCGATCTGGGTCCCCTTGCTAGAAAGCTCGCATATTTGCTTTCATTGGAGGGCGTTGTCAAGGACCGTTTCGCCGAAGAACCAGGGGACGTCGCCGGACTCAAGCAAATTTGAAACCAGGACAAAGTAGGTCTCTTCTCACAAAGTCGAAAAGGATCAATGAATTGTGGCCGACTCCCAGGCTCTGCTCCACGACTTCAGGTTGATTCACTTGATTGTCCGATGACTGCCAGGAAATGAAGTGTGACTAAGAATCCGATGTGTCCAGAAAGGCACACCGCGAGTCCCCTAAGTACTTTTACTGCCTATTCCTAGCTCAAGATCGCTTCTTGATTGGGTCTTGAACGAGACAAAGCGCGGACTGGAGCACCACCACTTGCTCCGGACAACAATCACTTCCGTTTTCCGTTTTCCATTTTCCGTTTTCCCCGTTTCTCTTCTCTTCCTTCTTTTTCTCTTTCTTCTTTTTTCGTCCGAATTTGAACCGGCGCGATTCTCCCCTTTCACCTGCTTCAATTCGTCTTTCTTACTTTTTGTCCCTTCTCCCCGCCTTCTCCCTTACCTTTTTCTTGATTCCTTTTTCCGTTTGAATCTGAAGCGGCGCGATCTCCCCTTTTACCTACTTGACTCATTCTTCTTCGATCTCACTTGCCTTCCCCTTCTCCCGTGCAGCACCTGAGTCACGTCTGTCCACTCGCATCAGGAGCACCATTATGGAAGCGACCAGCCCGTATCCCGGCACACTGATCTACATCGCGCTGTGCGGCACTCGGGAGACCCTGACCGGGGGGAGCTGCTCCTGCCCCGGCAGCAGTAACATCGTTTTTGCTGGCCCGGTAAAAATGCACGATGATATCTACAGCTGGCAATGCAATTGCAGCATAAATCCGTCATGTCCCTCCGGGGTGCCGGCCGGCGAGTGCCACAACATAGCGTATGCAGTGTGTGCGGAATGACAAAGGGGGGCCCAGCCGCCAGCTAGCTAGGGGGGTCGACGTACCGTTGTCTAGTCAGCCGTACTGTGCCTAGCTGCTGATTAACGTTTAAACCTGGCAGCACAAGCAGAACAGAGGCGGACCATGCATGCCAAGTAGCTGCGACGTCTGTCTGGTCCCTACATCTGTGTGCTCGATGTACCTCACGCAGCTTTGACCAGTGCAGCGGGTTGTGAGAAAGATCATGTATGCATTGCTATTGATGTTGACTTTATTTGGCCCCCTTCAAGACGGTTGAAGCCACTACTCCAAGGCGCAACCGCTTTTCATCTACTCTGGTCGGCGAACAATGATTCTTGCAGAAGTATGATGCTGTAAAGGACGTCTGTCAGTATGAATGCAATATGTGATGGAATTCGGCAAGTAATTCGGTCGAAAGCACAGCATTCTCCGCTGCGAGAAGCTATTACTGCATCCGCTAATGACCCCTGATCGAAGCTATCCTTTTTCGATCAACTATATTCGACGACTCGGACCTTAGTGTCCGAACACTGCTGGCAAGCACCTCATAAAGCGAACGGGTCTTTAGAGAGCGACGGTCAACCTTGTCTTTCCGCTCGCACAGAAACCGCACTCACGATCAAATCAAAGGGGGCGTCATGGTTGTGCTCGCTTAAAGAGCTTCAACGGCGTCGATCTTAAGATTCTGACGCCACACTTAAAACCGGCCTTGCCAGCGTGATTACGAGCTCACAGTCTATATGCTGTTTAAGAAAAGAATCGTCCATAACATATTCACGTACGTCGTTTAAGAGATGTGCCCACTGCGACCACCTGTTCGCATATCCGATCATGCTCGCGCCTCCAGTCTCCTGGCGTACTCTTAATCGTTCTGGTCGTTCTGCTTCGACGAGCTCAACCAATCGGCCAACGCTTCATGGCAGCCTCCAGCGCACCGCTGACGTCTACCATGCAGTTCTTCGATTGGTTGCAAATAGAATGGCCGGCCGGTAGTGTCGACGTTTCAGCAGAAAGACATGCGTCTCGTGGTGGACGTTGACCTCGATCAAAAAGGGCGTAGGCACACAGTGCTGATCGGATGAAGTGCGGAATTGCTCGCTTTAGAATGGCTCTCAATTCATGATACGTCAGAGATGAAGACGTCGACCTGATTACCAGGTTGGTTTTCAGTCTGGCCGAGTTTCCTCAGCTGAGTCTCACTACGTCCTAGTAAATGAAGCAGCCAAATGTTCTGACATTCCCGGTTACGTCATAACGCTGGGTGATTTGCAGCTGTCAGTATAAAGGTCGTCCGACGTCGACCCCCACGCCCGGCGAAGTCCAGCAGTAAATGCGCGACGGAGCTGCATCGCACCGTAGGTGAAGTCAGTGACGTCAGCTCTCGGCCCCTTCTGGCCGGCGACCTCAGTTCATTGAAGTACAAACGGCGCCTGCCCTGGCGCCCGGCTTTATAACCTCGTCCCTGTCAACCTCGATCAGCACTAAATGAGTTTCGAGGGCTGACTCTCAGACGACTTTTGACTTGCGCGGACTTGCAGTGCGGCGCCATTGAACGGTCTCCAAGCCGTCATCAGTAACCCTCACACGTGAGGCAGCTGCTTCAGGAGAGAAACAGCCTGAAAGAAAAGCTGTGGCGCCCAGCTGGTATACTTGAAGTGAAGCGGCAACCTCTTGACAAGAGCTGCCTGAGCTAGGCAAAATCCGCTGCGCGAAAACGCATCTTGAAGCCAGAATCAGCTTGAGGACGTAGTGAGAATTAGTTTGAAGGGGAACCTACAACCGCCGCCCGTTATAGTACTCGAGTTTCCGCTGTCTTTGCAGCTTTTTCCAGTCCAGAAAACTCTTCGCGTATCCGCCAGCCAGCACTGTGTCAGCTTTCTGTTCGAGTCCTCCTCATAGAAGATCCGACTTGCAGTCCGAAAAAGCTTTGAATCTAAGTTGCCCACAGTTTCTTGCGCGCCGGGAACTACTTCGGGAGCCATGGCATCCTGCAAACGTTGCGGCGCTTCTCCAGGTGGGTAAAAAGGGAAGGTCCAATGAAAGCTAGAGTCCATTTTCGTTCTTGGTCGAGAATGGCGCCGTGTAGCAATCTGCATAGCAAAACGCTTATTGGGGAGGTGGGATGGCCCGGCACTCCTTGCCAAAGGTGGTGTTATACAGATTTTCTTGGAGACCTCTGATTCGCGGCCGCACAGTGGCACTAGGAAGAGACGTGTGCCAGAATGGATATGGCTTCCAACTTGTCAGACAAAGGGCAGCCTTCCTTTGTAATTTGCTACGGGCTGTGTCAGAATCGCTGTCCTTGCTTAACCAAGTGGGTATTATCAGGGACTGCCGTTCTTGCTACTGATTGAACACTGGATAAGAGTGCCTTGTCAAGCTCATGGGAAACATCGGATTCGAGCGATGCGCGACGTGATGGCTCTTGAGCTGCCCATGAAATCCTCGATTTCAGCAAGTGCACGCCGTCTGATTGAACAGGTGCTCAGGACGTCGAAGTTGAACAGTCATTCTGTGTGAAATCGAAGTTTCTTCTCTTGGGCCGGTTCTTCTCGAGAGATCTGAGCACGTGTAGAGATTCGTGGAGACAACACGTCTTTTCTTACAAAGGCAGGAGACTGCCAGTCCGAACAGATTTATGAACCTTTGTGCACCTGAACCGTCAATGTTTTGCAGATTCACTAGTAGCTAACTTGCTGAAGTTTGAGATGACCTCAGTAGTCACACAGTAAGCTGAAAGGGCGTTTCAGAAAGGACTCTCGCTGCTTGTAATTTCGTGTGATTCTTGCGTCGCAGATATGAGCAGGGTGGTACTGCTCTCTTGGGTCGTCTTGCTGGCTGCGTTTCCATACGCCTCGGAGTGCCGCCCCGTGCCTGGCGGCCACGTCAGCAGACAGGCCGGTTCGACTGTTTCCTTACCCACCGGGGGGCTATCTAGCACTTCGACTCCCACCCCTACCAGTAGTAAGCAGTACGTCTTCTTTGTAAGATTTAAGATGGCCCATCAATGTAGGAGGCAACCCTCGAGCAACAGTGTTCTTTGTTGATTAGGAAACATACGTAGGAGAGAGCTTGGGTACAGGAGAGAGTCGCGAACGTGGTAATCATTCTGCAGAGACTCCCGAGGTTTTGCTGAACCACTGCCATTCTCCTCAGGTGATTTAGCCATTCTTCGTGGGAGTCAAGTTCTCCAGAACAGGAACGCTCAAAGTTCGAACTTATGTCAAGCATTCGAAGCATTTCAAATAGGTGTTGAGCGCGTTCCTCTTTCGCTAAGTTTGCTCCTTTCTCTCGCTCAGCCAGCGCACCCAAAGCAGCTCCCTTTCGGATACACACGACGACATACAGCGCCAACAAGTGGTCGGATGGCCCCTACCCTGGAACGACTCTCTACATTGCGAGTTGCGCCAGTTATATGACCCTGACCGGGGGGGGCTGCTCCTGCCCCGGTCCCAACAACGTCATCCGTGCCGGCCCGGGAGTAGAGACCGGTGATTTTAACCAGTGGGAGTGCGTCTGTAACACGACTCCGGTTTGCCCCCCGAGCGTACCGGCCAATGAGTGCATTAACCAGGCATACGCAGTGTGCATGCATAATTACGAATAGAAGTAGAGCCAGAAAAAAATCACAGATTCTGTCATGGGCTGGCACGTAACATGACTAGTGTGTATAGTTTGCTGGTTGACGAAGTTGAATACTGGCAGTCAAAGGAGAGATAGTGAGGACTACGTCTATGATGACGATCTTTAATGGTATTTCTGTAGAGCAAGATCTTGTCTTTGAATCTGCTCGGACCCAAAAACGAGTTTCAAAGACAAGCAACGGCGACTTCAAACGGTGAACGTACGCTCTTGTATATGGTGGGCAATATCAACAGATAGATTTACGACCCTTTCATCTAGCAGTAGAAGTTGTGGAAGATGCGTGTACATATGTACAGGCGGCATAATCTTCTGTGATAAGGTACTTCCTATTACAATATGTGACCGTGAGCGCACGGGCGCCGCTTCAGTAACATGGTGCACACTGATATGGATGCGATGGTGAGGTGGGCGGCGCAGCTCCTGGTGTCCAATAGCGTCCACGCCGGCGGGGAATCGTGCAATATTTTATCATTAGCAGATAATCAGCATACTGTGCTTGCAGCGATAGCAACCGCTCGTTCATTCGTCATGAATAAACGGTTGCCAGTAATCGATGACCGAGTTGCTCAGTCACTTTGCCGGATGTCAGAACAGTCAGGATGTGCGGGTTGACAAAGGCGGGAGTCGTCGACATGCAAAACTACCATCCATGAAGATCAGAATCATATATTCCCGGAGCTCACTAAGCCGCCGGTCGACTGAATTTTAAATGATTATAAACTCACACTATAATTCAATAATTGATCAATACAAGAATCGATATCGTCGAACCGTAAGATCATAAGCTATCAAATTTAAGATGAAAGCTCTCAGCCAAAGATCCAAGGGGCCCGATCAAAGTGCCAGCGCTCAAATCGGTGAAGTGCATGCAACTGGGATACAACATATTGCTGTGCATGCCCAGTGTACGCCGCCCCTAAGGGCCCTCAGTCCTGTAGATAGATTCATAGATGAAGTGCTATTTATACATAATCCAGGTGGACCCCAGCTCGGCGGCAATTGGCGATTCCGATATCCCGACCGTCCTGGGACGGTACTGTCTAGCCAACGCCGACGGCCTGCGGGCCTCAGAAGGCAGCCGTGAGAAGTTTAGAGTCACTCGATCATTCAGCCGCCCCGGAAAACTTTCATGCAACCCCCATGCACCTTTTCAAATTTGGAAATTCACCTTCTGGCAGCTACCTATACGCGCAGTCTCGTCCGAGTCTCGTCCAGCTGTACCGGGCGAGTCGGCGACCGTGTTCTGTGCAACCGGGCGTATCGGCTAGTCCTCCGGGGTAGCCTATCCTGGTGTTTGTGCCCACAGTGACTCCCGGTTTACCACTCGGGAAGTGAAAGTTGTCAACCAATTGCACCCATCACAAGCCCTTGATTGTCGTCTTCTTTGAACGGTTGAACGGCCTAGATGCTTGCTATAGGACGGTAAGGTTTAGCTAAAGAGATTCTAACCGGGCCTAACAAAGCCTAACCTTGAAGTATCCAGCCGTATTCACCCGACGTTTCGTAGCCATTTGGGAGCTGCCCCGGAAAAGCCCCACCGGGAGGCTCATCATGCAAACAGTTGCCCGAGGGGGTTCCCGGAAGTACACCCGGTGGAAAGCCTCCCATCCCACTATTTGACAGAGGACAAACGATGACAACCGTTGATGGCGTTCTAGGTTCCCAACGAACGGCGACGAGGCTCTGTCGAAAACTTCAATTTCACAGGGGTACGGACCGTATGGACTCCGGAGTGACCGACGCGGCGACGTCCGCCGAGTCGGATGCGAAAGTCAACGGCGGCCGCAGGGCGGCATTTTCCATGCCGGCCACTGTGTATTGCAGACTTGCAGTGCATATAGGTAGTCGACGAGCAGGCTCGGCAGCGGATCACCAACTGAGCTGGCCACGGTAGCGTGTTTGCAGATGTCCACACCCGAAACTTTACAGCACTCCTCGAGTTGAAGCGTGTGCTCATATAATAATCCAGTGCTGGTACTGATATCTACTTTCTTGTGAGCGTTCATGAGGGGTGCCTGCAGGTCGGGTCGCAAGTCGATTGACCTGATTATGGTTTATCTCGGAGACTGCTGGTATTGGGTTGCAAGTGAAAGCTAAATAGGTAGTATTGGAGGCGAAAACTTCAGCTGTACTATTTCAGTTTTACTGTGGAGTTCAAGTGAGGATGCTGTACTTGGAAAGCAAGTCTTCGATTCACCTCAGGAGCTGTCATGAGCTGCAGCTGCTAGCTGACAACCTCTGAAAGAGCAGTACCTGTGAAGATAATTTGCATCCCTCTCACTCATTTAACCTCCATGACTCAGGTCAACAGGCTGTCAACAAACCCGCAACTCTGTAGCAAGACTTACAGGAATGCATCTGCAACGTGGTCAATAAACTTGTTTGACTATTCATGAGCACTACTGAATAGGGTCACTGGGTGTTCATATTGCGTGGTCATACTGCGTGATTGTCTTGCAGTCATTCCTTCGGAGTTGGCTTCGATAATTCAATTAAAGACAAGCGCCATCCATTGATGTCCGCAGCACCAGACGTTTTTCGTTGGCCCCTCAGCCACAAGTCTCTCCTAAGCTCTCCGTATTCCAACCTCGAAAAAACTTGGAGGTCAAACCCTTCTAGCTGGGCGTTCTTGTTGCAACTTCACTTCAGTAACGAGAACTAACAACGGCAGCACTCCCAGAAGAACTCCTTGCCGTCATGTTCCCTACAAAGATGAAGGCGGCTGCAGTGCACGCGGGAGCGCCGGGCGGGTCCTTTGATACCATCGGCAAGCCCAAGGCCATGGACTCCGGAGAGAAACGGCTGCACGAGCTGGGGTGAGCACTGAAACCTGTATTTGTGTGTCAACCTTTCTTCACAAATGCTGGAAAGCGAGAGGACGACTTTGTGGGTGCAGAATTAGGTTCTACATACTCTGGGTAGGGGCAAGAATGCAATGAAGGGCTCTAGGTTGGATTGTGAGGAGATGTGGGGATTTATTCTTGGCTCCATGTGCATTTTACAGTATCTGCAGAGAAAATATTGACATCAGTGATCTGCATCAATTGACTAGCTTCAGGCCAGCTGATGTATGAACATCTGTTGGGGATTATTAAAAAGATCATATCATCTGGTTAACTTCAGTTCCGCCTGCTTGCTGGCTGCTTCAGCTTTTGGGGGAGGCACATGAGAGCTTGGTTATCGGGAACTACTTTCAAGTTCAAGCCATCCAGCTGCCATTGGTTCAATCACGAGTTGAAGAATGTCTAAAATGTCAGCAACAGATGCTTCTCTGCTTACAAGTCCCTGCGGCTTGAGGAAAAGCTCATGAGAGCTGACTCTTGGGTCTATTCTGTCCTGCAGGTACAAACAGGAGCTCGTTCGGGTTCTGGTGAGTTGTTCGTCGAGCTTTTCCACCTTCTGAGCTCCAAAAATATGCGATTGTGTGACACACGCTGGAATCGCAGCCCGAAGTGAAGGCTGCACTTCCGTCTCTGATCGAGAGTGGTATCATCCAAGTGGAATAAGTCACTTATGTCTGCAATCATGAGTGCCTCCGAATCGTTTCTGCTTCCAGATTCAAAACTTTCTGATTCTTCCGCATCCTTCTGAATCTGTAGACCTCCCCCACTTCCTGATCCCCCTTCTCTGTATCTCTTCAACCCCTATTTGATAGGCTTTAACCTGGTTGCAGAATTACAAGCCCACTGGTCCTCGGTTCTGCGTGTGGGTTATCCTCGCAGCCGAACCCTTCACCAACTCAATGAATCGCTCTGGACCCAGCTCCTCTCAGCTTTAACCGAACCGCCAAACCCTTACTGGGAAGCTTACACGCACAGGACTGGGAGGCTCATTCCAACCGCTAACCCAGTTCGCTTCACCACTTTTTCTCCAGAGCCTGGCCGTCAACTTCGCCGTGAGCATTTTAACGATCATCAGCATTCTGCTCAATCACCTAAGAGCGGTGAACACTAACCCAGACCTTGACTACCTCACAAGAAGCTGAAACGACTAACACTGACCCAGTTCTCCAAACCCTCTTCCTCCAGAGCCTGGCCGTCAACTTCGCTGTGAGTTACACCATCATCGGCGTTTTGATGGGCATTACCGGCCTCTACTCCATCGGGTTCACATACGGAGGCCCAGTTGGTGTTGTTTGGGGCTGGGTCGTCGTCAGCTTCTTCTCCATGTTCGTCGCGTCTTCCATGGCGGAACTCTGCTCTAGCCTGCCCGTAAGCGAGACCAATCCATTTCACATTCCGAAACTTCCCGTTTGACCAATCTTTTCCAGATCCACGAGAAGCTGCCGTTGCTCAACTACGTTGCTGAGCTCCGTCCCTTCTTCCACCCCGATAAGAATCGGATCCTACCATCTTGAAAACCCCTGAGAACTCCGCAGTAAAAGAATTTTTTTTTGCGCTGAGTAGGTGTGCAGGTCCGGCAACTCTCATCAAAATGGCTGAGCTCAAGATTTAGGAATTTCTCGTTGATTGCGCTATCTAGGCGCTCACAACTTCAGTACTCGCTCCCTCAGTGTCCTTGCTGGTCGACGTCTTCTGTACCAAATCAAAATCTTCCTCATCTCGTATGCAGACGGCGGGCGGGCTATACTACTGGGCGTTCAGTCTGGGCGGCCCTGAGTGGGGTCCCTTCCTCTCCTGGATCACTGGTTGGTTTCTGTACACCGGTTCAGTCTGCGGCGTGGCAACAATCAACAACATTGGCGCCAACTTGATCGCCGCAATGGTGGTTATTAACACGGGGACTGCTTTGGACGGGGGATACATCGCTTCGAAGGAGGTCACCCTATCGTTCCTGATTGGGCTGACTGTCATTCAGGTAATGGAGATGATCGCTTCTTCTTTTCTTTATTCCGTTTCAAGCTTGCTTCTGATTCGATGACGCAATCGTCTGTGAGGAATCTTTCCGTAGGCTGACCATATCAGCTCGGTAGAAGCAGTGCCAAACATCTTGCGCCGTCGGCTTCAGTCCGAGTTGATGATGAAAAAAATTCCTAGGTCAGCTCATTCAGCAGGAGACTTGTTGTCCTCCCTGGGGTTCCTTGATCAGATTTTTATACAGGCTACGCCTTGGGATTACTGTTCCCTCACGTGACGTCAGCTGACGTTTCTTGATGGTCCCTCCCCTGGCCGACTGCCACCTCAGGCTGCTCATGTCGCGCTCGTCTGCTGATGGCGCCTTCCTCTACTCGAAGCTTTTTTATTTGCACACGTCATCCTTTCTGCTGACGTCACAGTCGATTGTTTCCGCAGGCCATCTGCAACTCGCTCCACGTGAAGGTCCTGGCAGCCATCGAGAAGTCGGCGCTCTACATTGAGATGATCGGCCTGGTCGTCGTCTGCGTAACGCTCCTCTGGGTCTCGGGTGAGAGCATTACGCTTCCCGATTTTCGTGACGCTCTTTGCATTTCTCGTACTGAGTGAAGATTTTCTTTGCCGCCCGAGCTTCTCCGAGTCTTGGCGAGTATTCAAAACATCTAGAAGTGCAATTCTTCATTGCAGAAACTCCGCCTCTCTTCCTCGCAACGGCAGCCTTAAGAGGGCGACGACGACGTTCACCTCTCCAATTACATTCTGTCGAGCGTTTGACGCGGTCATTCACAACTTTTCATCTTTTTCCAAGTCTGAGCATAGTCAACCTTTCTCTGGAGAGGTACAACCCTCTTCCAGCGAAAACGAGAGTCGCCCAATCTTTGTTTTGATCTACACAGCACGCGCCATCTAGCAGATCTACCATCGTAAAGTCAAATGCCTGAATAGTGAGGCATATTTCAAACCGTTTCTCACGCCCATATGTACACCTTATCTGCAGAGGAGAAGCAGTCCGCCAAGTTCGTGTTCACGCACTACGAGCCAGCGACCGGGACCGGCGTCCACAACAAGTTCTACGTCTTCATCCTGGGGATGCTCATGAGCCAGTTCACACTCTGCGCTTACGACGTGAGTGGCCGGTGTGAATGACGTGAATGGACGATCATGCCCCTTAAAATGGGCGTGTTAAACTCAAATGTTGCCCGGCCGTGGTCACACATTCGTCGAGCTTTGCTTCTGTAATCAACATTTCTGCGCATGCGACCCGTTATTTGGCATCTGTAACATTAACATCTGAAGCATGCAGCTTTATTTATCGACCACTTCGGCCGGGCGGTTCTGAATGGTTGAGCTTTATACATCAGACCGAGACATCTGGGAGTCGGACTCACTAGGCTTGCCGATCGCAGAACGAAACTTCAGACGCTCGGACGCTGGCAATAAAAGCGCTTCCAGTGATCTGGTCGAGAGATTGCTAATCTTTGATCACAACCTATACTTTCCACCGCCGAAAAGCAAATTCGGAAACTAGAAGACAGAGTTTTTGACTCCTCTGATCACAGGCTGCCACGCACTTAACGGAGGAGACGGAGCGCTCCGATTGGACGGCTCCTGTGAGCATCGTCACCGCCGTCTTCACCGCTTCCATCGCCGGCTTTATATACATCCTGGTCCTCACTTTCTGCATCCAGGTGAGACCTCAAGTTTGCCCCGCTGCTTCTTTCAGCAGCTTAATTACGATTGTTACAATAGTAATTTTCACAAATGATAATTATAGTCTCGATATGATAATTATAGTCTCGATGTTGTCTTAGATTGTCTACTTGCAAAGAAGAAGTCCTTCCAAAACTTCTCGAATCTACAAAGGAAACGGGTCGAGCTCCTTTTCGGCAACGCCGTGCAATCATGCATTCTGTGCCGCTTGCAAAGTGGACTGTGGTCAATTGCCGGCGCAAGCGCGCAAGCGGTTAACTACTCGCGCGCTTTGAAGTCTTTCCTGGCCCCTTTGTCCTCGGACCCTGCGTCGATGTTGACCTCGGCAAACGATATTGACGTCCTAGCCGGGAGCTTGAAAAGCCCTTCATTTTGAATCACAAAGACGCGTTCTCGATCTTCTTCTTGAAAGGCCCAAGAGGACTGGAAGCCCACATCCATCTTCGAGAAGATCCAGTTCTGTTTTGAGTGTCAGCAAAGCAAGCAGCCCCTTCCACTTGCGCGCGCAATAGCTTCTCCAATACGGCCGCTTCGTCACTGTCCACGTCCTTCGTAAAGCTTCAAATCCTCCTTCTGAGAGTCCTTTCTCCTGATTGTACTTCAGTAAAGCGACCGGCAGCTTCAGCATGAGATAGTACGCCGTACTGTAAGAAATTGCTTAAATCATTTTGAAAGCCTCTCAAACTCTAGTCTGACTTTACGTCGTTCAAACTAGCACTAACTAAATCTGTCTGAAACCGGCCTAATCACACTTTTATAGGAACTAACAAAACCTTGAGAAAACCCTGTTGTAGGACCCGGCTTCCGCTCTGGAACCCGGCAACGCGACCGGCTGCTTTAGCGCGGGCGCGCAGTCCCACCCCAATGAAAAGTTTTGCCACAAACGTTTTTTTCTGGGTTGGGTCAACATTCCCTAACCGGTAATTTAACACGGAATTTATTTTCACAGGATCCCGCTTCCGTATTGGATCTCGGCAATGCGACCGGCGGCTTCAGCGCGGGCGCGCAGTCCCAACCCGATTGAAACTTTTACCACAAACATTTTTTCCTGGTTGGGTCAAGTTGCCATAACCCTTAACCTAACACGATATCTCTCTCGCAGGACCCGGCTTCCGTTCTGGATCTTGGCAACGCGACCGGCGGCTTCAGCGCGGGCGCGCAGATCTACTACGACGCGTTCGTCAGCGGCGGGCGCACCGTCAAGGGCGTCATCGCGCTGCTGACGTTGCCCTTGCTCGCCGTCTTCTTCAGCGGGCTGAGCCAGCTGGCAGCCACGTCCAGAATCGTGAGTGTCCTAAAGTAAACTGACTCAAAAGTTAGATTCTATAAAATCTGGAAAATATCAGGCGTCGTTGCTCTTCTGACGTTGCCCTTGCTCGCGGTCTTCTTCAGCGGTCTGAGCCAGTTTGCGCCCACGTCGGGAATCGTAAGTTTTGGTCGCAGTTTTAAGCAACGAAATGTCACTCTTTGAGATTGGCATGAAAACAGTGTGAGGGCCTCATCGCTCTGCTGACGTCACCCTCGGTTGCATTCTTCTTCGACGGAGTTGATGGGCACATCGGAATGGGGAGAGACCCTCAACATCGATATACAGAAAATTGCTGTCCACGGAAAGGTTTGAAAAAGTTTCAAAAGTCGAGCTTGATGGGTTCGGCTAAATTTTGAAAGGAAACACGGATTCGAATCACTTTAAGAGATAAGGTGTACACCTGGCATGGTCGATGAGAGAGCATCGGAAGCGCCCAACTTCAGACTTCGGATACAAAAGACGATCTAGCGGACGTCGTCGCTCTGCTGACGTCACTCTTGCTCGCGACTTTCTCAGACGACCCTAGCCAGCGGGAAGAGAACATGCTGAGGCCCAGAACATCGGATCGAAGTTTGTGCTTGTAAGTTTGTAAGCTGCTCCTCTTCCACTGAACCCCGTTCCGTTTCCGCAGATGTTCGCCATCACCCGCGACAAGGCCATTCCGCTCAGCGGATTCCTGCACTGGTCCCCCGCCGCAACCAACACTCCGTTCGTCGCCAACTGGGTCTCCGCCATTCTCTCCATCGGCATCTCTCTCTTTTCGCTCAAGTCCTTCGTCGCTTTCAACGCGGTCGCTTCCATCGGGGTTATTGGCGCGTACATCGGATACGGTATTCCCATCTTCCTGCGGATCGTGCGCCCGGAGAACTTCACCCGGGGACCATTTCACCTGGGAAAGTGAGTTTCACACACCGGGAACATCATGCTGATTTTGTAGCATTGCTGAATAGGGAGGCCGTCTAATGTAGTACGGTAAACCCGACCACAAATCAATCCGAGACAGCGTTTTCAATCCAGACGGACTCCTGCTCTCATCCGAAGCTCCCCTGCAGTTCTCGCTAGCATTTGCGACTTTTCAAGCGCAAACCCCAGAGGCTTCCAAAACTTTCTCGAAGCGAGGTCCTGATCCTTAACATTCAGCACGTGATTTCAACACGAAAACCGATGTCGGCTTCGTCACAGGATCTTCCGATCTAACAGTCTCAAGGACACGGTTGTGAAAGCGCAATTCGTTTTGCACTGCTTGGCTCCCTAATGCTGTCGCTGACCGGTTACGAAGCCCCGACCCTTCTCCCGGTCTCTGACGCGAGCCGTTTCTCCGCCCAGGTGGGGCGTCCCGTGCGCGTGCGTGGCAGTCGTGTACCTGACTTTTGGCAGTGTCGTCTTCTGCCTTCCAACCTTCTACCCGATCGACAAGTGAGCGCGCGTTGGTCTTATTGTCATTCCTACGTTTCGTTTCAAGGGGCATTAGCCGCTCCCGCAATCACGCCGGAGTTAAAGCTGAGCGATGAAACGCGAGACCGATTCCGAACCCCAGTGCACATTGCCCGCAAGGAACGCCTTAGTACCCGACATTGGAAGTTGATTGACATTCAATCATCGGACCCGCATAGTTTTGGAGGCGTTGAGAGTATACCGACGGTCTAGTGAAGCACTTTGTTCGTTCCGGCTTTCCGGTACTACTCCCTTGCTCTACCGTATTTTTGTACATACGTGCCCGGCCTACTCGTCTACCAATCTGCTTGCTTAACGCCAGAACCGTAGAGACTGCTTAACGCCAGAACCGTAGAGACTCTTCACACCCTATCCAAGGGCTTTCCATCTGAATATGAATCAGCATCTCACTATTTTCCCACAATTACAGGGATACTTTCAACTGGACGCCCGTTTCCGGGGCCGCCGTTTTCATTCTGGCCGTCGTTCTGTGGGTGACGTATGCCCGCACGCGTTACCTGGGCCCCGTCAAAACGCTCACGACCCACGAGAGCTACGACTCCGATGCGATCCTGAAGGCGGATGCCTTGGAAAAGACGATCGACGATTGAAAAGACGCCACGTCAACGGGCTAATGGAGGATCTTAGCGGGTTCTGGCAAAAGAGTCGAACCAACCAAGCAGGACGAGCCACGTCAGCTTGGGGAGGCGTTTGCTCGAAAGGTTCTTGATGTAAAGGCGTTTCCCTGATGACTAACGAACTCGATAGCAAAAAGGATTGAATCGAGACAAGGTAGACGTTCCACAAGGTTAGAGACTCGTAAATATGTTTGCTTTTCGCTCCTAGAGGAAGAACGAAGGGCGGTTTCGTCCTCCCAAGGCCGTCTGATACGTTTGTGTGGATATACTAGGAGCCGTAGTCCCGTAGATAGACGGGGAATAAGAAGGTAGCTTGAAAGCGAAGGCCCTCAGCCTGTTTGCAGTCGAGACTGGCTCGTAGATACCTGTAACATTATCGATTGAAGGCGCGAATTCTTCGACATGAAGTCACCCTGAGTCATTCGACGTGATTATGTAACTTCAGGTCTTGCGAGCCTGACGGTGCAGTACGTCGGAGTTGCGACTACAGCTAGTGGAACGTCATAAACAGAACGCTGGGTCATGTTCATAAGCAATGATGCCAAGCAAGCGCACTCATGACGTCTTCCAGGCGTTAAGTTAATTTGAACGACTGAGCGTGCGGCGCTTGCTCACAGCTTAGCTGTCGATCCGGTCGACTTCTAAGACATGTAAGCATAAGTTCATGATGGAGAAACTCAGCTCACGAACTGACCTTGCGCATGTGACTTAGACATTGCTACTTAGAGTCGTTATATTCATGCGATCATATGTATATGTTGTTGTGCAGCGCCTTCTGACTCTGATCCTCTTGTACATCCCATGCTTCACATTGGATGCGGCGCTGCCGCCACCGTTTGCGCACCTAATAAGCTAGCAAAGCCGGGCCCGGCCCTGGTAATAAGGGGCGCCCGGACCGGCCCGTCGGACGGGCCATGCAGGCCGCGCCACATCGGACAGTGCGTACTATATATCATTGCTAAGCTAAGCTAATGATAAGTTAGAGTTCAACCTGGCAACGGTTGGTACATGTACGTATGTTGCTTGAAGAAGTGTGCACTGTCGAACACACTACGAAACGCGTACGTACCTAGCTTGTACTGATCTGACCGCTGTATACGCATCTCAGTATGCACTAAAGCTCGTCAATCAACGATCAGACTAGCTAGCCGGCCTGGGGATACTAAGGACTGCATGGAACGCAGCTGAGCGGCCGGGCCGGCCGCCGCGGCCGCCGCCAGCTCGATATAGCGCATGTGGTGCAATTAAAATGGTGCACGTTTATTCAGTTTGATCATGAAAGTGAGGTACCTGTACTCCCTGGTCACGTTCAGCATGTCGAGCGGACATGCATGCGTACAAATGATGCAATTCATGCAAAGCCGGATTATTGCGCCGGAGGCGATATCATTTTGACCTGCAAAATACCGGACTTACTTATCGCCGCGCATCATGTTGCCATATACCACAATGATATGGCCGGGCCTACTTGTGTAAATTAGTCACTGTGACGGTCTGTCTTAACCATGATGGTCTTGATCATGTTCAGCGCGACGTGCAGGCAAGCCTGGGAAAAGTAGACGGCCGCAAATGCGCCGCAAATTGAAATCCAACGGCGTTTTCAAGCGCGAAAACTCAGTCACTGACTGGCCGGTACGTACATCACACGGACCTAGCTGTGTGACATACCGTTGAACGTAATCATAAGTGCGGAGTCGCAACGAGCCTGCTTAGCTCAGCTTGAAGTGAAGGCCGAGAAACACCAGCGGCCAGTGTCGGGGTATCTTGAGTATCTGCTTGACTGTCTCAGAAAAGCTAGTAATCAAATCACTCAGCTGCATAAGGAAGCCTCAATCAGCTAGACTTTATACTTACAAGGACGACCTGCTTTGTACACTTCAAAGCCCGAAGATGTTGCACAGTGACAAATTCACAACAAAAGTGACCAGCTTCGCACATCCGCCTGGGCCCTAATCCGCACACAAAGCGACAACACTGTACTCACTGCAACCTACCTCAAGCCTCTTTCGGCTTGTTCAGGTTCTCGGAGTAGAAGTACCCCATGACTCCCGCCATGCAAAAGGCGCCACCGATAATGTTCCCGATACTAACCGGCAGCAGGTTGCCCAGCAGGTATTGAGACCAGCTGACGTTAGCGCCCAAAAGCATTCCCTGCATTAATAACACAGGCGTTCAGCACGTTTCTCAGGCGATAGGCTTTCCAGCAGCGACGACCCCGTTCGCAATGAGACAGCAGCAGATAAATCATAACGTGAGCAGTCCGCCATGCTGCCGCTTGATCCATCCCCAAACCTCCTAGGCCCCAAGTAGCTTACGAAACAGATCCTTCGTGGACCAAGAAAAACGTGCTTCTTGAACAGTACTAGACCCCGAACACCACAAGTGCTGACGTCAGCAAGCACAACTTGGTCGCCTCTTCGCACCCTAAGTCTATCCAACACAAAACGGCGGCAAAGTGTTGCCCATAATACGGAGAGTAGGACCGATCAGAAATGAATCAGCAGGTACGACAGAACAGAGGGTGTGCAGAACAAAAAGACGGGGATACGACGATAGGGCTCAGGTGGGTGCCACAGAAAGAAGACGGTATCGAAAACCTTCACCCCCGGTTTTGACGATGAAGACAGCTTTAGCTCCCAGAGGAACAAACGCGCATATCAAGCGCGAAATAGGGATAAGCGATGGGCAAACTTACATAGGGGATGATGAACATGTTGGCGACGGAATGCTCGAAGCCCAACGCCACGAAGGAGCTGATCGTGAGGAACATGCCGACGTACTTGGAGACGCCGTCGGTGGACGCGATCGCGATCCAGACGGCTGCACACGAGAGGGGCACGTGACAAGTTTCAATTGCTCGGCTACACAGACTCATCAAAAATCTGGATCACTTGTTTGTGGCGAATAAGTTCGCCAGAAGCTGAGCTGCCACTCTGCTGGGTATAGAAGATGACCGCAGCGAAAGTTGTATCATTTCCTTGGGAGGCTTTGAAATCTGACATAAAAACAAGTCACTCCGTGTACAGGATCCGTCGCTGCGTCAGTACCACAAACAGCTCCAAAGCAATGGCAGTAGAAACATGTTATACTGCCGCATCCCAGCGTCAACCCGCGAAAACTGCGGCACCGCAAGGAGAGAGACTGGGGGACTTGTCTGTGGAGCGGGAACAGAGAAAACAAAATGAACAAAACGAAGATAGCAATGATGCAGAAGCTGAGAAGTTCAATCTTCAACTCCTCCACATCAACTTCGGAACTGAAGGTCTGAACTAGCGCCACAGATCTCATATGGCCGGTTACAATGGCAAGTGAAATCGTCCATCATGTCACCCTCGCACCCGGAACCAAACCCTGAAGCCTCTCAAAACGGTTTCTCGCAGTCACGGATGTTCGCTGGCAGAACGGAAACTGGGTGCACGAGCAGAACGAGCGGAACGAGCGGAATCTGGCGAACGACTCACCCATACAGACCATCCAGTTGCAGAGTATTCCCCTCATAAACACCGTCGCCAGGGGGTAGCTAGTCTTGGCAACCGACAGGCCGATCGACGTGGCTTGGCTAGCGGCATGCGGCACTGAGAGAGAGCGGAATCGGAGACGAAATGGTAAGTCGAAGTGTTCGATTAGGCATCAGTGGTTCTGTGCGTTTCCGGTCGGATGGTGGCCCTTTGAGGACTTTCGTATGCTTTTGAGACCCTTCTTCAAGTTGGGTTTATCGCATCATTCTGACGCCTTGACACGAGCGCGAAGTCCTGGCCATGACTTTCTGGATGCTTCTGGATCGTCAAGCGACTTCCAAGATACTGTTGAGTGCATTCAGTGCAGAACAATGGCTGCGTTTCGTTAGAAATGTGCTTGACTGGTAGGTCGACCAGATCGAAGTCTCCTTGCAACGGAGACACAATATTTCAGATCCAGCAGTCGACGGAAGGCTCATCAGTTCGCCGTGAAGGGTCAGTCAGGGATGACAATATTCTCGAAAGTTGCATAATACAGTTTACGAGCCGTCATGAGGAGGGCAGCGGAACCCTTCATCTTAGTACAGGCATCTGAACTACGACGAGGGCGCAAACGTCGAGCAGCAATCCAACAACGCTGCGAGCATTCTTCACAAGGGTACCAAAACTAACAGAGGAAGAAAGGTCGCCCTTCTTCCCGAGAAGGAGCGCAGCAAAATCAATCCGACGACGAGAGTCCTAGAATGTCCTGATAATTGGACCCACTCAGAAGGAAAGAAGAGAAATGTTAATGGCCCAACAGATCTGATCGACAGAGGAGGCCCTTAGAACGACCTACGAACCGCCCATTGCAGTTACAGACACTTGCCAAGATTGCCGATTACTTCGCGGATAAAGCGTTCATCAGAGACTTTCACCACTTACAGATCTGAGCGACGGAGAAGGCCCACACAGCCAGGAGCGACCCGAAAAAATTCCCCGTGTAGCTGAAGAGCCAGTTGCGCATGACTTGCCCGAAGGAGATGCGCCCGTCCAGCCAGCCCGCGGTCATGACCATGGTGTTCCCTGTGAACAGCTCGACACCTGGCAGAGACGCACCACCAAAGTCAATCCTAGCTGTTTAGCTCGATTATTGCAATGTTCGCAATTCCTTTGGCTTTGAAATGGTTGACAGACCGTATCTCGCTAAGCTCCGCTCCTGCTTTGAGAGTCGTGGAAGCCAGATCGAGGAATTGCTAAGGCAATCTTCCAGCGCACCTTGAGGTCTTTGCAGAAGAAGAAACGGCAATCTGGAATAGTAATCTGTCGGAACTATAAGGTCGGCAGACTGGAACGGGTACGATTTCTTTGTGGGTTTAGGTTGGGGATTGGCGCGCAGCAGGTGACTTTATGGGTTAGAATTTCAGTTTGGAAGTTCGAGCTTATTATTCTCAAAGCTTACTTTTCCTGAATGCACAACATACTTAAGGGAGGGCCTCGTTTTCAAAGCTTGTCAACAGAGGCATGGTGTCTGCTTATGGGGATTCAAGCATGGAGTCCAAGAGTCCAATGTATGATTAGACCTCTGAGACGAATGTTGTCCAGCAAAATGTTCCATTGACGCACAAGCTATTCGGATGGAATCTTCTGCATGCAAAAGTTTGTATGCGCAAGTCGCATCTGGGACGGGATGGCCTTCCCAAAACTTAGCAAACGGTACATGAAGCGCACTGAGTTCAATGTTAACTTAAGGCAAGGGAACGTGCGCTGTCATGGCAAACACGGCAATCAACAGCATGGTGTGACCAATGGGGGCAGTTTAAAACCTAATAGCCCTTGTCCGGGACAGTACTAGGAACTCGTAGATCAGAACCAAGTGCACTTTGACTGAGTCTCGTGTTTCGCAAACTCCAGAACCCTGTACTGCTTAAGGAAAAATAATGGCCACGATTCAGCTGGCACATTCAGCGGGATGATAGTACTGCAGACCTTACCTGTGAAGACGCAGAGGGTCAATCCGAACGGCAGCCCGATGAGCCCCTTGAAGAACGAGTGAAGCCCAGGGTTGTTTGCCTGCATCGTGGGGCACGCCCCCCCGACCGTCAGAAAAAGCGCCCCCCCGAGGGCGATGAAAACGCCAGCCACTATCGCTTGGAGGAAAATCCTCAGGTTCGTCAACTTCGCCTTAACAACCGCAAGCTTTGCGGCAGCGACGTACACTTGCCGCGCGTTCAGAACCCTCGGAACCGGGACGTCCAGGATCTGACTGGTCCGCGGGGTGAGGTCACCCTTGGAGTCGACGGGGGTCGGTTGCACGCCATTCCCCCCGCCGGTGGTTATCTCCGTCCCAAAGGGGGTGCTGATGTCAACGCTGGCGCGAGTGGGGCTTTTTGAGGCTCGCGCTAGTTTGCTGGGGGCCAAGGAGGGTAGGAAAGGCTTAGAGAGGAAGCGGCTGCGCAAAGCAGGGGCGGAGGGGCGGTAACTAGGCACGGGGAGGGGCTGCCCCGAGGGGCTCGCACGGCAGCTCACAGAGGAGTTTCGGACGGCGCCACAAACGGAGCTCGTTCGGACGACTTGGACAGCGGCCATGTGGCCACGTTAGAAGAAGGGCCGTTCGCCGGTCGGGACCTTTCCTTGCCTCAGTTGCTCGAGCACGTAGCGCCCCGTATCAAGCAGCTTCTCTATGTTGTATACGGACTCTTCCTGGCGGCCCAGGATGAAAAACCCCCGCAGCTCGTTCTTGCGCGACTCCCGGGCGAGAAGGCCGAGGCCTAGGGAGTTTCTGTCGAGCTCTCTAAGGAGCTGGCGGTAGAGACTGAGGACGACGGTTCGGTTGGCATTGGCGTGGGTTGGGTTAAGCCAAAGAGCGGGCATATCTGCAGCAGGAATTGACGAGACACGTAGTTTCCTGAGTATGCCTGAGAAAGGGCACTTTCTTTGCGGATGGAGAGTAGCTAGAGGGACCGGAACATGTCGAGTGATGCTGTTTCATTAAACTGACATTGACAGCATTGCAACTAGGTGACAAGGGCCAGGTGATGTACAGACAGTCTGTAACGACAGGGAAAAGAATTGAATTCAGGCACTTAGGCACGGCTTCCTGTCCTAAAGTCACTTTCATAACGGTTCTGATAGAACCACTAAATCTAAATGAAAAATTAGTCATTTCTAGTCTTTTAGTGTTAGAAATGAAGGTAGGCTCCAGGGAGTGTCAAATACACTTTTCTTCTCCGGACTTGTAAGCAGCTGAGACTCATGATCCTCTGCTACTTGGGATGTTGTTGACTGCTGCACTAAATCAGTTTTGGCCTGAGGAGAATTTCTTTCATCGGTGGCTACTGAAAACTTGCTACATGAAGAAAGGATCAGTCCAAGCTTCCGTATAAACCTCAATGCGCAATGTGATACTGCTTGCTCCTCTAAAAACCAGAGCACGCCATGAAAGTAAATGCTAGCTGGGGACGCCGTTTGAGGGAACCTTATGGAGATGACCTGTCAAACTTCAAGTGCCAGAGGAGTGATGATTCACAGCAATGGACTAATAATAACCTGTCATTTTGCTGCACAATTTGAGCAATAAAGGGATGACAGTCCATTTCCAAGATTAGGGTGTTGAGAATCAAATGCAGAAGGTCCAGTCAAGAGCTAGAGGCAGCTGTAAGTGGTCAAAAAAGAGCTATGTCTGCTGTTTGAAGAACTTCTGAACTGCGTGAGACCCAGCATTTTCAATATCCAGTGGCGATAAGTACGCAGCGCCAATCAGCTGTGAACACTGAATGAAGTTTCTCAAGGTTCTGACACAGTGCGAAAAGCACATTGCGCACAAGCAGATTGGATGCCAGCGAATCAGAATTGCACACCAAGTATGTGCCCTAACATGCAATCAAGCTTCTTGTAAGTAGACCTATCTGAGAGAAGCAGATTGGTCGGCAGAGAGAGAAGACATACTGAATGTTGCTTGCAGAAGGCTCTTGACTGTACAGCTACAGCACTCTGATCAGGAAGGCCGTTCTGCTCTCTCTCACCTTATATTAATTAACCGCAGCTAGCACGGTCCTCGAACTCAGAAGGAGTTGATTTGAAGAGTGTCCGCAGCAAGGACGCAGTATACTTCCCCTTCAAGAGTTCCCAGCAGGTTCTCCGCAGATTGCTTGAGATTTCTCACAGCTTTCCAGGCTCTTCAGAGCACAATTCAAAAGCGAAATGCGACCACCCTCGTGCATGAGCAATGCAATGGCAGGCTCCGAGTCTCACTTCGTCTTTTAAGTTTTACTGATCAAGTGCTCCCTTCATGCCTATTTAGGGCCCGGGACTATATAACCGGGCTCTCTTTTGGGTACCGTCAAGGTGGCCGGTAGATTCTTCTGAGTCACTCAGCTCTGAAGCCTTTGGACTTTTATTAGACACAGTGCTACAACTCTGAGCGCGCGTTCAGATCCATGTTCACACGCGCGTAAAAGCCCCGCGGCCGGGGCCGCAGTCGACCTGACACGTGGCCTGGCACAATCAGCCGTGCTGTCAGAGTCACGGGTACCACGTGCAAATGTGCGACGAATCAAATGCCTCGACTCGTGCCCCTTCCGCCCTTTGGAACTGCGTTCCCTCCACAGCTGATCTTGCAGAGGAGTCGCCACGGGATCCCCTCAGCGTCCTCTTTCGGCCACCCTTCTTTGAGCTAGAGGCAACCAACGAAGCCCAACAAATAATGCACACCAGACCAGAATCCAGACCAGGTAGGTAGTGCTGTCTGACTCCCGACTGAGCTCCAGATGACTTGTCAGTGCGCCCAGATCACATTGACCATTGGCCCGTCCCTTCCGAACAGTTCCACTGCTGGATTGCATGGCTACCTAGCTCCTTGGGTCTTCCTTCTCTTGGCCTGCTTCAAAGCACTAATCTCAGATCTCTTCAGATCGCTGAAGCTTGCAAGGTCATCTTCACAACCCTCGGCATTGCAGTCGTACAAAGCATTTTGGTGCCACGCTTACTGCTGCTATCTTACTCGAGCATATGCATTGAGATCTGCTAAGGGGCGCTCAGAAGAAGCTGGCAAGTTGGAGAGATTTTTCGCAGGTGACTCGATCCAAAGTCCATATTCACTACTACTTAGATCAGCCCTTCCTTGGTTGTTCCGTGGAGAGTTCAGCTCAGCATCTCAGACCCTTCACCCTCTATACGTAAGCTGATCACGACAGGCACACTTCAAGTATTTCCCCTGGAGTGAAAGCCTGCAGCGCCCCTTTGATAGGCCGACAGAGCATCAACATTGGACGGCACTCTGTAGCAACCATGAAGGCTGCCACATTAACCCGCACGGGCGTCTCCCAAACCCCAGCCGGGTTTGCCGCTAACCCACATGCTGCACTGGGGCCCCAATTCGCCGGCCTTCGTGCAATGCCGCTGCCAAAGAAGGCTGCCCCGTGCGCCGCACCCCCCCAAAACAGGGCCTCGGTGATCTCCGCCACTGAAAAGGTGCCCGAGAAGAAACCCAGGGATGTGGCCGCAAAGGCGGTCGCTACGGCGCCCCCCCCGCCGATGCAGGGGGAAAGTGCCCCCCCACAGGTCGATGCGGAACGGTTGGTGCCTCGGGTGGCCAAGAATGAGGAGGGGTTTTGGGAGCTGAAGAAGGAGTTCCAAGCCAGTCTAAACCCAGCTGAAAAGGTGCGTGTGACGATGTTTGCTGTGGATTGATCTTCTGGGGATGCGCATAAGCTCAGCTTGCGTCTTGGAAGTTGCGGTGGACAGATTGAGCTGGAATAGCTGTGGATTAAGCTTGTGGGTGAGGTCTCAGCACGATCAGTGTGATGTAGCGATATAGACATCAGAAGGAGTGGGTGGTATTGTCCTGGTTTTACATGCAGACTTTTGCAATTGTATGATGATGTGCGAATAGATAGGCGTTGCTTCCGCACAAATTCACTCTGTTTCAGATAGAAGTGATCTGGGTAAAGTGAAGTTTCATCAGCTTGATGTGGTCACGTAAAAATGTATTTGGTTGATTGGCCTCCTTGGTGCTCGGGGACAGGTATTGGATCGAGCTTTTGTTGCCGCTGCATAAGGGACGATAATTTGGAAAGGAGATCTGAGTGTAGGCAGTTGTTGGGTGAGCCGTTACAAGGTATGCGGAAGCTGCGAGTACGCGTAGAGGGCAAGTTTAGCACCAAGTTGCATGTCTGTGGCAGATCTGGGTTTTCGATTTCTTCTGAGAACCGCTTGGACGAAGCAAACTTTGGGCTGACCATCGACAGGGGTGCAATGGCTATCTAGTGAATGTTGATTTTCCGAATGTCCAAATCCAGACTGTCAATACTCTCACCTTGCACTTACTTCATGTTAGCAGATCTAGCCGGCTGAATCCGCTGTCAAAGACGAGAATCAAGGACCTCGCGGAGCAAGGCTTTGCGGGTTTGACAATCAACGTGAACGGTTGAAGTCCCCAACTAAAAGTGCCATTATTCCCACCCCATGTTTACTTACTCGCACCTCTTTACACTGGCTCGCAGATCAAGCTAGGGGCTGAGCCCATGAAACTGTTTACGGAGATGCGGATCAAGGACTTGGCAGAGCAGGGCTTTGCGGAGGTGGACAAAACGAAAGAAGGCAAGGACGACATTGACGTCCGGCTCAAGTGGATGGGGCTCTTCCACAGGCGCAAGCGCACACGTGAGTGGATTTGCACTACTTTTCTCAAAGGGCGTTGGGGGAATGGGCCCCCGTCAGGCAATTAATCAGTGCCCACCGGGCCAGCTTGGTCGCTGAAGCCATATTTGAGGATGCGGTCTGGATCGGCAGATAACTTCTCGCTCCATTCTCAGGTGCACAAGTGTACCTTCGATTGTAACACAGAAGGAGGGCGGTTTGTTAGAAACGAGGTTGTGGGTGCATGCCGGTGCACAATCATGGCCAGGGTCATGTTAGAAGGTATACGAAGTCGAGGGGGAGAGGAACTCACTACTGGTGCAAGCAGCAGTACTGACTGGATTTGCCACCATGTTTGAAGGCTGCGCATATGTTCTTCAATTGAAAACGGACCTAGGGATTCAATTTCAAAGGCCACCCAAGAGAGATAGGAGACGTGACACGGATAGCTGAGTTTACTTTACTACCAGGTTCCACCAACAAGCCCCCGAAAACAGGTCGTCAATAATGGACTTGCTCCAAACCTCCTCGCTGCTGATTATCCATGACGTGCCTCAAAGTCTCCCTCAGCCTCCGCAGCCTGCAAGCATACCTGTCGCAAAAACCCTGCTCGATCAATGCACTATATACCCAACCTTGTTACGTTACCCACATCAGCTACTTAACCCAATTCTTAACCCTCCTCTACAGCCGGGCGCTTCATGATGCGGCTCAAGATCCCCAACGGCATCGTCACGGCCAAGCAGACCGCATACCTCGCCAGCGTGATCGCAAAGTACGGTGCTGACGGCTGCGCTGACATCACCACGCGTCAGAACTACCAGCTGCGTGGAATCCTGCTGGAGGACGTTCCGGAAATCATGAAGGGTTTTGAGGAGCACGGGTTGTCCGCGATTCAGTCGGGGATGGACAACGTGCGCAATGGGGTGGGGAGCCCCCTTGCAGGCATCGATCCTGAGGAGGTGAGTTTGAGTTGGACTTTCTTCTTCCCCCTTTTCAAGTGGACTTGAAAAAGCATTCTGACACTTGTCCGACTTTCAGGTTACCTGGGTGTTTTGTAAAAGAAGTCTTGATGCTGGCTCTGCCAAGTGGAAACGGCTTTGGCGTTCGGCTTCTGATGAACAGGAGTCGCTAAGCGGTTGTACCGTCCAGTTGAGCACGATTATACCTGCAAGACTATATGTGAAGGAAAGCAGATGAAGCGCGCCTGGTATTCTAGATCCGTTTTAAGGATATAGCACCTTATCTCAAAACCGAGCAAATCTGTCAACGGCTATACGACTAGATCAAACCTATGGCTCTCTTTCGTTGATAGTGAAAACCGACGCAGATTGTCCAGGTAACCTTCACAAAACCGTTTTTTAAAGAATCTCATCATTCGTGCAGATTCTCGACACAATTCCTTACAACATTGCCCTCAACGACTACATCAATAACAACAAGAAGGGCAATCTCGACATCACGAACCTGCCCCGCAAGTGGAACGTGGCAGTGGTTGGGACGCACGATTTGTACGAGCACCCGCATATCAACGATCTCGCTTACATGCCCGCGACAAAGGACGGAGTTTTGGGTTTCAACATCCTAGTGGGGGGGTTCTTCTCCCAGAAGCGCTGCGCCGAGGCGATCCCCATGGATGCGTGGGTCCCGTCAGGTGGGTGGGCTTGAATTCTTTCCGGGGGGGGGGGGATATCTGCCAATACTCAGCGGCTTTGGAAAACAGTGATTGGGTTATTGACGGCGTTTGACTCGGGCTTCCTGCTTCGTTGTACGGACTAGTCGCCGTCTGCGCTTGGCCTGCTTCTTTCGTAGAGTGTATTTGTCGCTCGATTCAACGCCACGGTTCTCATTGCCCAAGAGTTGCTCTCTGGGATTCCCAACCCACTGCCCCATCCAATCGTTTCACTCCGTGCGATTTAAACAGAGACCTGAAGTGCTGAACGCTTGCTAAATTATCAAACAAAAACATCGAACTGAAAACGTCATACCCTTGCTAAATCGAGGTCTACCTGGCAAGCCTTTTCTGAAATCCTGATTGGTGTCCTTTGTTTCCGCAGATGACGTCGTGCCGCTCTGCAAGGCCGTTCTGGAAGCTTTCCGCGACCTGGGCTCCCGCGCCAACCGCCAGAAGGCGCGTATGATGTGGCTCATCGACGAGATCGGTCTCGAGGCGTTCCGGGAAGAGGTCGCCAAACGGATGCCCACCGGAACCATTCCAAGGGCCGGAACGGACATGGTGGACCCCACGTGGAAACGGCGGAGTTATTTCGGTGTGAACAAGCAGAAGCAGGCGGGGCTGAACTTCGTGGGCGTGTTGGTGCCGGTTGGCCGGTTGCAGGTGAGGTTAAGGTCGGGTTTGTGGCTGGTCAAAGGAAGGTTAAAGTGGGGTTTTGGTCATGAGAGGCTTGTATCGACCAAAAGCAGGCGGTTTGATTTTCGTGGGTGTGTTGGTGCCGGTCGGCCGGTTGCAGGTGAGGTTGAGGGCAGGGTTTGTGGGGATTCGGTGCAGTTAAAGGCGGGGTTAGATGAGTCTGGGTCGGTGTGTTGACGGGTTTGGGGCGCTTGTATCACAGCGTGAAGACATTCCAGGGTTGCAGATGTGGAAAGGCGCAAGCTTGGGGATAAGTTTACAAATTTTACAATCCACGGAATCGAAGGGCGGTCGATACTGAAATTGGAAAGAGTGCTACGTGTTCGCAAATTCAACGCTGAAGCAGCGCCCACTAGTCACAGTCCTTTGAACTGCAGATTCATGCCCAACTTCTCGAGTACCCGTAAGATGTTGATCTCTTTCGTACTGGAGACATTGAAGGCAAATGATAGCAGCGAATGATAGCACCGAAGAGTACAGACATCTTCCCTCCAATCAGCTCTTGTCGGTCTCTCAAAACTCCACTCACAAAGTGCATCGGGCCGGCCAAAACCCTGTGCCAAGTATGCCGATACTTTTCACAGGCCGACGACCATGTTTGATTTTGCATGCATCGCGGTAGAGTATGGCTGCGCACGACGGTCGAGCAAAACCTATTGGATTTAAGGAAGCGAAGGCGCTCTTCTAACTCTTTGACTTCCGGCTAAGGCCCCATCAACATCTTTCCACGCTGACGACACGTTCTAATTCGCGAAAGAGTACAGCAGCGGCGAAATGCGCATGATCGGTCGGCTACAATCTCGTCTATGCGAATTACTAGCTCTTATCCTCCATATCATGTGCTAACCCTCCGTTAACCTCCTTCCACAGGCCGACGACATGTTTGAGTTTGCGCACGTTGCGGAAGAGTTCGGCAGCGGCGAGCTGCGCATGACGGTCGAACAGAACGTTATGGTCCAGATAAATTACTGGGTTATCTTTCTAACCCTCGGTTAACCTCCTCCCTCAGGCCGACGACATGTTCGAGTTTGCGCGCGTTGCGGAAGAGTACGGCAGCGGCGAGCTCCGCATGACGGTCGAACAGAACTTCATCATCCCGAACGTTCCGGACGACAAAGTCGAAGCCTTTTTGGCGGACCCGCTGTTCAAGAAGTTCACGCCGTTCCCGAGCAACCTCAGCGCTAACCTGGTGAGTAACCATAGTGGTTTCTTCAAATCATGATTGAGTGCGCTTCGTCTGGTCCTGCTTCGCGCCGTTTGAGGAAGCACTATCCTGGTGGATAAAGACCAGGGTAAACCAACCGCTTGATAGGGATGACGGTGTTCTTCTGATTCTACTTCCGCCTTTTGAGCAGACGGCTATCTTCTTTACATCAAGAACACTCACCTAACATCCGATTTGCCCAGTTGGTCGGGGCAATTGGGTAACAGTTTCAGCTCCTGTTACGACTGGAAATGGGGCCCGATTGTCGTCCACTGCTGACGTGACTTTTCCCCTCCTTGCCTTTGATCTCGTGCACGGGCAGCCAGTTTGGCTTTTCGACTCCGTGCCCTGACGTGCCTCCACTCTTTGCTGACGTCACGTGTTTTGTTCTTCCCCCAGGTCTCCTGCACGGGCAGCCAGTTCTGCGGCGTGGCTCTTATTGAGACCAAAAATCGGGCGCTCGACATCACGGCGCAGCTGGAGGCGAGCTTGGACGTCCCCACGCCCGTCCGGATGCACTGGACTGGCTGTCCGAACACCTGCGGACAGGTGCGTTTTCCGGTTCACTTTCAATCACGAGGAAGCGCCTGTGGAAGTTAATTGGGTATTTGAACACCTCCGATTAGCGGCGAACTCGTTGATCTTAGGGCCCTTCCTCAACAGATTCCTGGTTCGCTTATTTCTCTGAGAAAGTGCATTGAAAAGTTTCTGCATCGCACTTGGGTCCCGAACAGTCACCGGCGGACACTCGCGCTTCTCGCCGAGTTGGTCCTCTTTCCCGTTCGTTCCCTCTTTGCTTACGTTCACGAGGGACTGCGCCTGTGATTAAGGTCTTTTGACACACATATCATGAACCTCGTTTTTTTGTATCAAAACTTTCTATTCCTTCGTGTTTTTTAAGCGAGTGCTTTGTGAATCATGGGGTGTTCAAATTGGGTGCAGACACGCTTCTTTACAGTCAAGAAGATTGATGAATCATTTGTTTTTCCTAACCAGGTCCTGAGTGGCGGACATTGGGCTCATAGGCGCGCGCAATAAAACAGAGAACTCTTCTGTTCCTCTTTTTCTTCCGCCAATAAAATCAGAGCATTGAAACCGACTCCCTTTTTGTCCAGGTCCAAGTGGCGGACATCGGGTTCATGGGCGCGGCCGCGCGCGACGAGAACAAGAAGCCGTGCGAGGGCGTCGACATCTTTTTGGGGGGCCGCATTGGCTCCGATTCGCACCTGGGGGAGTGCGTCAAGAAGGGGGTGCCCGTGAGCCAGCTCGTCCCGGTCGTCGAAGAATTGTTGATGACGCACTTCGGGGCGACACGGAAGGCGGTCGCGGCGTGAGGGGGCCGCGGGGTTTCTGGGTGACATCAGCGTGACGTCACTCGGGAAAGGAGTGAGTGCTCGGGGGAGGTGGCGAGGAAAGCTTCCTTGTCACGCGGGGGGGTTTGACGGGGCGCTTACGGAGGTTAAGGCTAGCCCGAACGCACGTTATTGAAAGTCACCAGCTAGGCTTAGATGGACTACATTCAGTCGGGGGGGTAACCCTCACAGATACACGCTACCAAATTGCTGGCTCGACAAGCATCTCAGTATCTTACGAAGGATCAGTTCAAACGGTGTTTGTCGTTGGGTAATCAAGAAGGGTCGACTGAACCGCACTTATTGAACAGCGGCATGCTGTGCCCAACACAAAAGAGTTGGAAGTTAGTTGTGTGGGTAGCCTCTAGAATCTACTAGACCCGTCGACGAAGCAGGAACGAGCAACCCAACTGGATCATCTGCTGGAGTTGGACCCGCCTATTTTAGTGTCAAGTGTACATAAATGGTAACGTTGATATTGTTTGTCAGATTCATTGCGTCGAAACAGCCCCCACATGCACTCAAATTACGCTAATTACCCTACTACAAAAGGCATGGTCGCATGCGTTTTGGAATCGCGGCCCCAGCTAACGTACGTCAAGCTCAGTTTGTCACATGTCGAAAAATCTTGCATGGAAGCTTTTCTGAATGTGGCCGTCGCGGCAACGTATACGTATCCAACGCCTATATAGCATGGAATTCAATGCGCGGACAATTCGCAGTGCACATAATTTGTATACGGCATTTTGTATATGGCGCAATTGACCGTCGTACCTTCAAAGGCCATGAAGCTTATTATGTACCGTTGCATCATGGTATACGTAACCGCGAGCTCCACTAGAATTATGTTAATTGATATGTTGAAACAAAATCTCATCCGATCGCTGTTCAAATACGTACATTTCCGAGTATGCTACATTCATGTCAGATCGATCAAAATGGGACGGTTTTATGTGGGGCCCGGGGGGGCCGACCAGGCTTGGCATGCCAGCATATGATGTATAAGTTGGCCCATAAGGGTACCGTCACTTTGAAGTGGCAGCGGGGTAGGAGGATTCTGATGGGGGGGGGCCCGGGGGGCCATGGGACCTGTTGTCCTAAGCCAAGGTGGGGGAGGGGGGGGGGCATGAGAGCTTTCGCCGGGGCGCAGCCCCGGCCAGTTTTTCTGCAAATTACCAGGCAAAATGCCCCTCTTTCTGACCCAGTTTGTAACTTCTGAGGCCATAAGCTCGGGGCAATCTCCGAGTCGCTAGGCGGGAGGACGGGGGGGCCCTTGAGGCCTCCAGAGAAAGGGGCCTGTAAAATACCTACCCCGCTGTCACTACAAAATGACGGTACGCTAAGTATATACCGCGCATATGCATCCAACAAAGACATGCCAGATGCACAGATCTGGTCACTGCGTCCACTGCAAATGTTAATCCGAGTTGAGAGCTGCCGCCCACGTTCTATCTCACCCATTGCAATTAGCGGCCAGCATTGTACTGCACGAAGATCCGACCGTCAATTGCCAGGACGCTGTTGAGTCCCTCGCACGATGGCAAAGACACTGATTCTTGTCACTTGCAAGTCATCTGAGGACCTGTGTTTCTTACGAAGTCGGAGTTGTAGCACTGAGCACAAATCACCGCCGATCGAATAAATGGGGCATGAATAGCCATACACTCAGGCTTGCGTGACCTTACTTTGGCCTTCGTCCTTATTGACTACATGACTGACCGCACGGAAAAATTTGCTTTCCCACGGCCGGGCTGCTGCCAGCTGCCTTGCAAGCTTCCACATCTACCTTGTTCAAGCGTTTGCAGCAAAGAATGTTTGGACACTACACGTTTTCCGTACGCTTCCCAGTTTCCCTTGCACCGATTCGGCCCCTCTCGGTAGCGGTTTCCGCTACTTCGCCTTTTTCGACCCCTTCGTTTTCGCCTGCGTTTCTACGGCTTTCGGCGGCGGCAGCATGCATTGCACCAAAGCCCAGCCCGCGCTGACCTTCCGCCGCAAGCCCGCCCCGTAGAAGAGCCCCACTAAGGCTTGCAGGAATTGGAACCCCGAGCTTGATACGGGGTACTGCAAAAAGAAGATGTCTTTTGGGATGTATCATCCAAGTACGCAAGTTCAAGAGATATGACGACGACGTCATGGCCACGTTCGTTCTACAATGGAAGCAAACCCTTGACGATGCGGCTCGTCCGTTCCAGACACTAACCGAACGTCTGACAGACCTTTTACGACTATATGAAGTCCGACCATGAGGCATTTGCTGCTGACGATCGAGTGTTCGTTCGAACATTGAATACACTCAGTTGTTCCTCTCAGCAGATTGCCAAAGGTCGAAACAGCAAAAGGCGCTGAACACAATCCCTTACTGAGTCAGCTTTGGGGTATGCGGTCTCAAAGTCGTAAAAGTTTCTTGCGAGAACGTCAAAGTGAAAGGAACTACGCCTGCAAGAACGGTTACCGGTGTTGAGACCTTAACCAATACTTGAGGCGGCTTCGGGATGTAAGGTCTGACAACCGAGAGCCGGCGTTCCCAAAGCACCCATCTCTTTACAAAAGCTGAAAATGATGGGAAACTCTGTTGCCGGGACGGTTACAGGGTTTAGATCTTAGTCCGTCACATCCGGTTCGGCTTCGGGATGACCGTTTACATGAATGGAAATCCATCTTCCGAGAACAACAAAAACAACCGAAACCTCTCTTTCCAGCCTAAAAGGGGGACGTGAAACGCTTGAGATCTTAACCCGCTCACCTGGATCGGCTTTGGAATGTACGTTTTGACGAACGAGAACCTGTCTTCCGCAATCGACTTGACGGAGCAGCACCCGCGCAACCCTTCGACGCCCGCAAAGCGGTCAAAGCCGCTGTCACCGACGCCCCCGAACGGCAGAGACTGCGGACGAATTGTGATCCCGTCAGCTCGCACCGTCTTCACAAGAGTAAAGTTACGGGAATGTCGTAACACCGCAAGGCGTGAGTTTCTTCCGTCGAAGTTTAAGATGGCCGGTGAGCAACCGCTGAAACAAGGTGACGTCGGAATGAGAATTGCAAATGCACGGAGCGCAGGAATTCCTCCTGAAGCTGCGGCTTTGAGCAGGGAACTCTAAGAACCACGAGCACAGGGTCCTAATTGCAAGACCTTGTGCTTTTGTGCTTTCGATGGTCACGGCGAGGATATGCACATAAATATCACCAAATCGTCGTGATCGACCGATTGCCGCGTAAAGCGACGTCAAACAAATTCAGATTGAAGCCCGGAGTTGTTCTGAGTGTGACAGATTCGAAGCAGCAATGAGATCACGAGAGAAAAAGGAAGAGGCATCAACGGCTGGTGGACGCTTCGTGACCAGCAAAGAAGATGTTCTCCTTCGCTTAGCCAAAACTACGGTTTCCGTTGCTTTGTTCACGTTTCCGAAACCATCTGGCGCATCCCTGACGCACGTTGAATATCATGGATGCGCAGACAGAAACGCCCACCCGCCAAACCCTGCATAAAAGTCTCATTCAAATTCAAGAAACGTCACACGCTGTTATCAATCAAGGTACAGAAGACCTACCTGACACATATACGTCGCGTTGAAATCGTTAATGGAAACCATGCCGGCCCGTATCCGGCTCGCGATCGCGCGCGCCCGTCGTTTGCTCCCCGAGAACACGCTACTCCCCAGTCCGAATCGGCAGTCGTTTGCGAGCTCGACCGCTTTATCGTCCGTGTCGAATCGCATGATGCACATGATCGGTCCGAAAACCTGGGGGAGAAGTCAATTAATGAGACAAACAACAAACCTGCTCTCCATCTGTTAATAGAGCCCTTGAGTAGGTTGGCCGCATTCTACTCAAGTGCGACCGTGAGGAAATTGTAGAGACCTCGAGACCAGCCGACAAATTGGAAGCGAACGACATTTTTTGGCTCAACACCAAAACCTGCCAACGAGCGTCAAGGAAGAACAACGGGAATAGTTGGCAATTACGCACAGGTCCGCTTGATCCTGTATGGCTGAGCGATATGCAATCTGATAAGACCAGGCAACAAACTTTATCTACTTTTTGACAATTTCAGAGACGCTTAAGCCAGCCCCGCATGTCTCGTGCAGAACGGTGTCAATTCCCTCACCTCGTCCTGCATTATCCGCATCCCATGATTGACATTCACCAGCACAGTGGGGGGGTAGAAGTGCCCCCCTATCTCAGGCAACGGCGTGCCCCCCGCAAGCACTTTCGCTCCTGCCGCGACCGCTTCGTCTACAAGGCTCTGCAGACATCCGAGACTACGTTAGCACCTTGCTTCACGTCACGAGCATTTTGTGCGGCCTCGTAACGAATGTGAGGAACAGTGCGTCAGCTCCGTCTAATGCCAATATAGCAAGGAAGTGCCCTTAGTCTGCTGTCAACTCGGTGGAGAAGCGCACGGACGATTCCTTCAAGTGGCGAATTCCCATAGAAAGGTTTAGACGCCTGTTAGGCCCAAGCTGACGCCCATTCACAGGTTAGTATCGTTGTTTGATGCTCCTTCGGCAACAAATCGCAAAAGCTTCGAACCTTTTAATACCGAAAGCCCTGACAATCGAGAACCTCGGATCCTTGCCAGTGGAATCTGTTGCGTATAAAGAAAGGTGTGGAGTGAGCCAAGTCCAACAGCGACGAGAAAAGCAATCGTTTCCCATGTGAACAGACAGAGTACTGGGACAAGTTGACAAAAGAAGAGACTTCCATTTGTCAAATCCAATCGAACATAAATTGGGCCAGCCTTCAGAGCCTCGAAGGGCACCCTTCAGTTGCCTTTTGGAAACCGCATTGCACACATTAGACTTTGTATCGAAATTCTGTGCGCAAGATCTAAAGATTGATGATTATTTCGCCGTGTCGCGTATTTCCAAAAATTCTCTGAACAAGCGTCAAGTGCCCACTCAAACCCCACGAAGAAGGATCACCCACGCTACACTGAGAAAGGAGCCCTAAGCAAAACAAATGTAAGAAGAGGCAGTGGTCACCTGTAAGTGATCCACGTGTGTCGGCATACACACCGCCCCCATGTCCACGTCACTGTGCCCCCGCTCGAGCGCCGGCCCCACCCGCATCGTATTCACACTGCCCACCACCCTGTCCACAAACTCGGTGTAAATACCCTCCTGGACGTAAAACCTTTCCGCCCCCGCGCAGTTCTGCCCGCTCCCCTGGAACGCCCCCCGCAGCGCAATTGACACCACCTGTTCCAGGTCTGCGTCGTCGCAGACTACGAACGGGTCTTTTCCCCCTAGTTCCAGAACCACCGGTGTCAAGGTTTCTGCGGCCGCCGCCATGACCTTCTTCCCCACGGCAGTGCTCCCGACGAACGTGAGCTTATTCACACCGGACTCGACAAGGGCTTGCCCGGTCGCCCCGTAGCCGGTAACAATGTGCACCAAGTCGTGCGGGGCGCCAACGGTCTCGAGGGCCTTGTGGATGATGGACTGGTAGAAACCGGCGGACCAGCTAGTGTGCTCGGATACCTGGAAAAAATATGCGACTTTGTCATAAACCAAGCGATTCGTCCTACCATGATGTACTAATGTTACGTTAAAAGATGATATAGACTGACGAAAACCGGCGGAACAGCTAGTATGCTCGGAGACCTAAGATGGACACAGAACTTCAGTACGAAAACTTATAATGTCCTGACATGATGTCAGGGGCTTATGGCTGAGCGATGGTGCTATAACGGGGGACAAGCAAACAGGTCGGACATATCCGGACGGATTTGGGCACTCGATGGTTGTGTTGATAGTAAGAGCGGTGTCAGCGCAAATGCGCAAAGAAAATTTTGTGACCAGACGACTGGAGCAAAGCCTACAAATATATCTTGCGAGAAGTCTTTTTCACCGCCAAAAGAGACCTAGAGAAGCCAGTCCCATGAAGATAAACAAGCTCCACAAAGCCTAAACTCGCTTTTCGCTGGTAACGGGCAGTGCCACTGCGTCCAGAACACCCCGATCCTCCGGCCTGATCCAGCACGGGCCCCATAAAACAGAACAGAGCAGGTGACGAGGACAAAGCAACCGCTTCAAGTCAGTCGCAAGTGGATCCCGTACGAGCCGAACTTGGAACAGAAGATAAAGCTGACAGCAAGGGTGGTCCTCTTAATCACCCTTAGCAATGCAAGGCTACAAAGAGAAACCAACTTCGGACCAGCGACTGAGCAGCTTTCGAAACCAAACTCACCTTAACGGCCACAATCCCCGCAAACATACTCGCCAGCCCCGAAGTGAAAGGGTTATGGAACGGGTTGTTCCAAGGCAAAATGGCGCCCGAAACGCCAAGCGGCTCATACCACGCGTTTGCAATCTAACGGGTAAGCAGTTCCGAGAAGAGTGAACCTCACCTTGACTACGACCGCGTTTCCTGCAAACACGCCTGCTAGTACCGGATTGAACAGGTTACGGAACGGGTAGTTCCATGGCACGATTGCCCCCAGTACTCCGAGCGGTTCGAACTTTACACGTCTGCAAACCAACAAAGAATCATCTTTCGAGATCCAGCCTCACCTTGACTACGACCGCGTTTCCCGCAAACACGCCCGCTAGTACTGGGTTAAACAGGTTATGGAACGGGTAGTTCCATGGCACGATTGCACCCAGAACGCCGAGCGGCTCGTACTCCACGCGCGCGACCTTGTGCAGCATCGTGCGTCCGACGGACCGCCGCTCGGGCCGCAACCACCGCTCGCCTTCCGAGAGCAGCCACGCAATCTTCTCGCACGTGGTGAGGACTTCCCCGAGCCCCGCGTCGACCATTACCTTCCCAGAGTCGCGCGCAGAGATGCTGCAAAAGACATAGAATGATACTTGGGTTTCTTTAGATTCTGAGGACGACAGAAACAAAGCTTGCCGTCCGCCAGCAGCCACGCAAACTTTTTGCACGTGGTAAGGATTTCGCCGAGCGCCGCGTCGACGTCGACCATTAGCTTGCCGAAATCGCGCGTGGAAGTTCTGCTAAGAAGGCGGACTCGTGAGAGTCACGGATAACTAGCGTTCGACAGGTGCCAACTAACCGAGTCAGCCCCAAGTGTCATTCCACTTTCGACAGCATCCTCGCTCTCTCTTCGCACATGGTAAGGGTTCACTGAGCGCCGCATCAACCAATACCTCACCAAAATGCGCGCAGATCAGGCAGGGAGGTCAGGGGATTGAAAAGCTATCAATCTAATCTCGCGGAAGTCAACAATCGGCAGGTCCAAAGCAGCGACCGATCGTCTTGGGACAGCAACCGTTCAACCTTGTCTACATTGCGAGGACCTCGCCAAGAGCACGTGGACAACACGAGCAAAGACTGTGCAAGAGAATCGAGGTTGGTAGTGCAAGGCTGGGTGGTTAAGGCCGTGAGTGGAGCTACGGTGTTTCGTGCCGGTTCTGAGAAAAGAGGTAGACCTATCAAGTGCGGGATGTGGAATAAGGTGGTTGCTTCCGAATGTTTTTGCAGGACCAGTTTCTGGGACTTCACAAGGCAATCTAAACCTGGCTTCCGAACCCTCGTGCGTTGCACAGATGCGAAAGCGACTCAAACACAGTGCATTCATGAAGGCCTGTTATCGTTCGGCCAGCTAGGGTGTACTTCGCTTACCGACAGATGATCTCCTGATTCTCCACAATATATCTGAGAAGGACTCGGAGCAGCCGTCGCCGGACGGCAAAGCTGCTTTTGCACCACTCTTTCTGCGCGGCCCTCGCTTTCTCCACATGTGCACGCACCTGCTCGAATCGGAGAAAGGGGCCATCATGTTGCGATACACTCAAAAACTTGTTCGGGGGGCTTAGAAGAAAGCCGGTTGGGAAGTGAAGTAACTAGCGCTTTGGTTTCAAGGATTTGTGATGACCAGGGTGTCATCCAGACCAATTGTGCAGAACGTCCATGCTCGTTACACTATCTTCCTGACCTGGAGATGGTATCGCTGCCAAGAAACCCGGAGATCAGAGAGGGAAGAAGGACAGTCGAAGGCGGTGGATTGAATACTTAGACAGGTGAGAGCTAAGAGGAAGGGTATTATTAGACTGAAAAGCCTCCACAACTCAGCATTCAGCGCTGATAGCTACTTTACTCCAGTTCGACAACAGCGAAGAGAGCAGGAGACGACAGTAGAAGCCTAGGCAGACTCACCGACTCGGCGTTCAGGGCTGGAACAAATCCAAGGTACTCCATGGTCGCCGGATCGTAGCAATTGACTCGATTCGGATGCTCGTCTTTCTTCCGAGGCACCTGAGAGGTCAAAGAGTTATTGGCTTATGCCGCCAGAAGCCCAGGGAGTCAGAAAGGAGGGGCTGAAATATCTTCTTCTTTTTTGCCTTACAGGGGGATATCAACATAGAGCTGTTACGCAATTGAGCCTCAACATCACAGACGGTTAGGCGAAGAGAGCGAGGTGGATCAAACTGGACAGGGCGGAGAAAGTTCCGAAAAGGACAACAATGCAGACTTTACCATCCTGGATGAACTGGAATGCATCTGTTTTGATGCGTAATGTCAATGTCTTGTGGACAGACTTTATACTCTTTTACAGAAGAGGCTTCAAGTAAAGAGGTGGGGATTGGCCTTGCTCACATAGATGTAGTGGTTCTCGACACGCTTTGACTTTTCCACCCGATCAACTGCAAGGAAAGTAGGGAGTCAGAGTTGGGAAACAAAATGTGTCTGCTTATGGAATCAAAGTTTGCCGGTAAATCACTCCGTGAGAATGGACCAAATGCAAGCTTTCTAGAGAACAATTCAAAAAGGTGCTGCAAATGTTTTTTGAATTTGCCGCTCCTTTATAGCAGGCTGCCTCCAATGACGTTTGCCTGTGGCTTTTCAGCGTTAGCAACCGCTGTTCCAGCAATATATGCAGGAGACTGGGGCATGAACTAGCAGACATGTGAGCATAGTTGGCAATCTTCTTTCAGCTTAAAGTAAAGGCCATGATAGAGCAAGACAAGACCTGCTCTAGGCCACCAGATCTAGATTCTGCTGCAAATGTCCTGGACTTGAGCTTAGAGTCCACAAATCTCAAGATCGTGGTCGACAGCCCCCACTTGCTTGTCACTGCGGAACAGCCAAATTGGTTGGCGGTGGCGGTAGGGCGAGTCTCAGGCTTGAGCATCGCCGTGATGACAACATTACAACGGACACTCTGGCGACCAGCAAGAGAGCTTCTGTCCAGTACGCTTGCTTCTGGTGTTAATCCAAATGCTGAATGTGTGCACCCACTTGAAAAATTGCTAAGCTTGATCCTGACTCAACGCTCCTGCAAGACATCCTTCCCTTGCTCCATGCTTTCTAGAAACATGCTTGCATATGTGAGCGAGCACCGCTTTCCCACCCACCTTTCTCGGTCCCCACCTCGATCAGCGGGACCGACTCCTCCCAGAATGACGTCACCAGCCACTTGAGCAGGCGCAGCAATGGGAGAAGAAGAGCACCCCCAACTGCGCCAAGAAAAAGGAGCCCCACCCCATGCGGATCCATGTCGTAGCCCCCAAACGAAAGTGGACGCATTATTGCAGCGACCTACGCTTCCCAGAATCTGGCAGCGCCCCTCAGCTGCGGCGGACCCCGCATGCTTTTTCCAAAATGTTTGCAGCTTCTTCTCAGCATGCCAGCCCTTTCTAATGAGCATGCGCCCCTTAAATTCCTGGCTAGCCTGCTGAAACCTCAAGTGCACACATGATCTGCTGATCTAGCTGAAGTCGACGCCATTGCTATCGAGTTCGCTACCTGCGCGCGCGCACCCGAGCGCGCGACTGCATGACCGCGTCGGGTACGGTCCACGTGGCGCCCCATCCGGCTCCGAACTAGACAGGAGCGCATTATGAGTAGGCATCATGAACAGGGCTTGAACATCTACGTACATATACCGGTATATTGAAATAACTGGCCTAAATATACTTGAAAATACGCGTATTCAAGTGAGACATGAGGCCGAGAGATCATGTGCACAAGTGTCTTCTGTCAACAGCCTTCTCTCCCTTCAAGACTCAGAGGCTGGGAAGCTTGTCAAAGTTCGTGCTAATGCATGTTGCAACTTGCGGTACCATGATATTCATCGACACTCTGGCTGAATTGCTCCTTTAAATTCCATCCGGGCTAATCATACATCTACGACCCAGTTACAGTGGCAAACCATCACACTGGCCGGCTTGCAATGCATGTATATGCTAGGGTCGTTGCTAATCAGTCGAAGCACAGCTGTTTTTGGTGCCGTACTTTTTCAAGTGTCCTCTTTGACTCTGGCGGCAAATCTGACTTTGCCAGCTCGGCCATCCAAGCACGCGGTAATCCGCAAATTCCTGACGTTTTCTGCAGATAGCACGACCCCGCCACTGGTCCTTAATTGAACCGGCAGCCGGAAAAGCTGAACGCCCTGTTTGTGAACAGACGGCGCGTCACCTGCAAGAATAAGAAATCCGGATCGTTTATTGGATACTAACTGACAATACGCTCTTTTCAGTGACCTTTAGTACTGCCCACTCTAATCAACGACTTACGAGGGAGACGTTCACGAGTTTGGAAGACGATTCTGAGCCAAGACAGTAGAATGAGAGATGCCTTTTGAGGTGAGGACAGAGGCCGCTTCGCCGGGGCACTTCGAGGCTCAGCGAGCTTTAAGCACATACTAAAGGCGTCAAGTCGTACAGCGTCCCTCATCGAACTAAAGTGCCTGGTCCGCTTTTGAACCTTTTGTCGACTCAAGGCTCCAACAGGGTTGCCGGGACGGCTCGCGTGCTTTAAGGAATCATTAGTGAACAGGAGCGTTTACAAATGATGGCTTACCAGGCGACCATCTGGTGGAGAGTACGGGAGACTGGTCGCCGCTTGAGTAGTAGTCCATCCAAAGCGCGATCCCGTGACACATTTCCGGCCCGCCTGACGACGCCTGTCGTCAAAAGAAGAATTTTGCCAATCACGACGTGCTGTGAGAAACGAGTATCCTTGCAGCCGACCGCAATTACTGCTTTTTCAATCGTTGCTACGGACCGAAAAGAAGAGCATGTGGTTCTGACAGAGAACTGTCTGGCTCAACCCGGCTGGAATTTTGCATCGTCCGAAAAAAAGGTCACAAAGCTGCCAACCCACACGCGACGTGAATGTTTGACGCCTTGATTGCAATGCTCGACGGATTGCGCTCATCTTCAGTACTTCAATCTAAGTCCGGGGATCAAATTCACCTAGCCTCTGATAAAGCCGCCTTCAAATTGAAACTGAGAGTCCCAGTTTGTTCAAAGAGGCGCCACCGGAAACATCTTGATCTTTGCAGCGAGGTTCGTAAACAGACTAAAACTGATGGACTATGCTTTTGGCGTGCAACATGCAGGGGTATCAACATACCAAGATGCAGTGAATCCCCGGGTCTGGTGGTAGGATTGAGAAGTGGCAAAGCAGCAGCACTGGCTCTAGTAGGTTGACTGTGCGAATCTGAATCCAAATGGTATCATCTCTGAAGTTCGAAATTGCATGTCAGCTAACGGAACTGACCTCAGCGATCCCCTCGAGTGACGTCAGCCTCTCAGTAAAGTCAAACGTCAGCAGATCGAACGGCTCGCTGACTTCCTGCGGAGAAAAAGGATATGCTACGATGAGCCCTTGATTGCAAGCCTTGACTCTAGGATGTCAGAAGGCTGCAAGATTCATGCGACACGTGCCGTTGGCGAATTGCAGCTCCACCTCAGCAGTAGGATAAATCGGGTCGCATGCGGGTTCCGTTAAGAAATTCAATTTCATGCTGGGAAGCTTGTCGGTAAAGAAAGAGTCTTTTTACCAGAGGGGCAAACGACTCTGAGACTACAGTCGATTCTAGAGCCGAGCGTCGTCTTTCCAACAGTAGGTACCGGCTGCGATGCAATGACTTGGGGAAGATTGGAATTACCTTCCTTCCTTTTGTCATCTATTCTAGAGACCCAGAAGTCAACCCAAGAAGCCCCGCCCGATCTGGTATAAGGTCGTCCAACGCAGCTCGCGGGGAATTGGACGGGGTGTCATCTCTGATCGAACAATGGGAGTCCAGATTTTATAGGCCTGGTTCCAAAACTGAAGATCGGAGACTTCTTTCCAGAAGAGTGACAGCGTTGAGTTGAAACTTGACCTGGTAAGAAGCCCCACACTGCCAAAGCGGGAACGGCAGAATCGGACAGCCCGCTGCCAGATCCTGCAAACCGTCCGAAGCGTCCGAATCCTTTGGAACCATTGCTCCGGACAGTCCGCATGCGCCCAGCAGACGGTTGGCCGGGGAATGGTCAAAGCCCTCGACGGAGGAGAGGGCGCGCCGGCTCTCCCACAGGTCCTGCAAGCGGGATGACGTCACGGATTGTCAGATGACGTCAGACTCCACCGTGGGCGGACAACGGAAGGTCGACTGGTGCCGCATGTAGCGCCAAAGAGCTTGGCGGCGTAAAGAGGGGAGGCCTGTCAAATCGAGTGGCTCGACCCCGAAGAGGTGGGGATTAGTTGCTGTTGCAAATGTTGCGGCGCCCTTCCCATAATCTCTTTGTAGCTGGCATCCGCGTGCTGGCGCGCACCACACAACTTCTTTTCAGCACGCAAAAGGGTCGACCTTACATCCTGCTAGTCTCCTTAGCCAAACTATACGAGGAATGTATAAGCACCGGGTTGGATCCTTGCCTTCTGCTAATGCTGTTATTTGTTGCCCGTCTTCTAGTTCTTACCGGAGCGGAAATGGCAACCCCCCGTAAAACGGCCCGGAAAGGCACGATTGGCGCCGTTGGGGCCATTGCCGTATCTAAGATAGTTCTCAGGTGCCTGCACGTCAGAATGGCAACTTCATGACTCAAAAGTCTGTTCTTTTTACTTTTTTGTGCTGATTTCTGATCCCCTCCTTCGCTCGAAGGGCTTGAAATGATCCTGGTTTGGCACCTACTTTGACTCCTTACTTTTAACAGGCCCAGGGAAGGTTCGGACGTCCGTTGACAGCCGCAAAACGTTCGGTGAAAGCCTCAGAAGCTCAGACGCTTAAAGTGCTGAGCAGGCTTGAGGCAAAAGCCTTCTACGCTTGTTCCATTCGCCACAAACTGCGAACGTTCGAAACAAAACCGGACGCTTGGGACGCATTGCCGACATTTTGAGTGTCTAGGAGCAGTCGGAAACGCCGCTTGTAAGGACCCGCGGAAGTAAGACTGAGCCGCCTAGTTGCCTGTATTTGAGGATAAAGCTGTGCAAACATGGTCATCTTAAAGGATGCACGAATCAACGGAAAGCGGAGAAAGAGCAGAGGCCTCAAAGTGCATGCAAGGTGGCTAGCACGCGGTCCCCGGTTGGGGAGTGAATACTTCCTGCGAAGAAGTGCCAGCTAGACTGCTCTTCGGTTATATTTGAAGTTTTCCAAGGGTTTTGTGGGTTTTATGTGATAAGCAAGAGGACGAAGCGGTGGTAAGTGTCACAAATTTGATCGACACGGACTCTCCGCTTTCGCATACATCAGTCAACATGACCTTTCATGAGCTACTTTATCAGTTGTATGGGTAACCCCAAGGTTATTCTGTAGAACGGTAGTGGCGTCTACATGAGAAGCCAGACGTTGCGAAGTGGTGCAACTCAGAACTTTGCACCCAGCTTGATAAGACGAGCGCATGCTGTGCATCAACTTTATCTTCTGCTCGTCTGTTCTGAAAGCGCGAACTTCACTCATGAAAAAGGAACTTAGCATGGCGCACAAATCACTCTCTGATCAATCTGTCTCATAAGGTCACTTGTACGATAAATCAAATAGCATCCTCGATGCAGTCCCGTGGAAGCATTCGAAGGTGATTCCATGCAGTCTGATCTCAAGAAAAAGAACGAACGGTCGTCTGTTCCTTTTACTGCTATTATCAAAAAAAAATTGACACCAGCTTGGCGCTCGAGCGATCAGACAGCTTACCAGAAGCGAAGCGCGTGCGCCCAGGGTGGGCCCGACTCGCACGTGCTGTACCAGGGTTCCGCAAGAAGAGCCACGATCTGCAAAGAATCCCAAGAATCCATGTTGTCTTTCGATGACTGGAGAAGATCAGTGCTTACTGCTTGTTTCTTTTGCAGTTTGTATCTGCACATGCTTGGAACAGGAAAGAGCTGTAGATATTGCATGGAGATTGAAGCTTCGTCTTCCTTCAAGAGGAAGGAAAACAGAAAGGAAGCAACTTCCACTAGGAAGTAAAACCCTAAACCTTGTCTTAGTTCTTGAGAGAGGTCTGCGTCGAATTTTCTTGCGGAAGTATGGGGCAAGCGCGCAGCTTTGGTATCGAAGCAAACCTCACAACAAACTCAGAAGTGAGAGTAGTGCTATGTTTCCCGTAAAATTACTGGTGCGAAGGCCGTTCAGAACGGAGCCGGTCATCCGAAAGCAGCTTTACATTGTGTAGTTCTTTTATTGGACGTCCCCAAGTCGTCAAACTCTGGAACACCCAACAGAAAGGTCGAAAGAGGGACACCCTCTCAGTCCCCCCGCGATCAAAGACCTTGAATGGCCCAATTTGATACTCGATTACTGAACGTAAAAGACGGGACCGCGTTTTCTACTCGCCTTTTTTCCTTTGAAGTCTTCCGCTAAAAGGCTCCCCCCTCTTCCCACTAACCGATCTGGAACAAAAGCAGGCGGGATCCCTGTGGCCTCCCCTCTAATTTTCATGAAACCTTGTATCGCCGCTGGTCCCTCCCGGGCCAAAAAATGCACTTTTGGGGCTTCAGAGCCATTCCGTCCTTCCGACGGTCCGTTCGTTCCGTTCAGTGCTCCAGCAGCGAGTCCGTCCGCTTTTGTCTCCCTAGGAACCGTCCCGGGGTCTGCAAACTCCCGACTCTTAGAACCGCAACCGTTCGGCGCTTTGTGTTCTGAGGCGTTGGCAGAAGACGCCTTGCTTTTGTGATTCCTATCTGTGTTTCGGGGAAGGCTAGAGGTTTCGACTTCTCGCGAGCTACTTCCCGGTTCGAAAATCTCGCTAAGGTGCTTGGCCGCGAGCAAAGGAAGGAGGGGGCTGTCGTCTGCAACCAAAACGATGGGGGCAAGCGTGCATGCTCTTGTTGAATCGTCCAGTTCCTGAGCATCAATTCTGTCTCTTCCACTACTGTCTTCCGCGGCCGCGTTCGACCCTGCGTCCTCCAATCCGACTGCTTCACCGTTCGGAGCGCCCCCCGATTGACAGGTGACATCCGACCCGCCGTCCGCCTCTCTCCGCCCGTCTTCTGACGTCACCCATCCCCCTTGTGACGTCACTCCTCGCCCTTCACGCACGGCAGACGCCAGAGCTTCTCGAACGGCTGAGCTGAGCTTTCTCCGCCACACCGAATCGCCCAGCTGTCCGATCCGCTCCGGGCTTTGCTTCACGTGCGCCCCGCACCTGCAGCTAAACTTAGATCCCGCCACCTGTCCACTTTCCGCTTGCCCGGACGCTTCAGCGGACGCTTCAGATCGTCCGTCCTCCGTTTCTCCAAGCCCACTGTTCGTTTGGACCTCTTGACACTCGAGGGGCCCACCGTCCAAGCTAAGCGGCTTTCCAGACCCCGCGTTCCAACGCCCGGGTTTTGCCGGCTCGTTTGCTGACGTCACCGCTGACGGCATCGATCCACTGCCGACAGCTGACCGGCCTGGTTCTTCCGCAGTCACTCCCGCAACGCCGCTCTTTTCTACTGGGGTCACAACCTGCTTCGGTCCCGCCCGGTACCATACCCCGATGTCGTCGTGAGTCGCTTCTACTGAGACCGCGCCACCGGCCGACACCCTAAACCCTCCGGAGGGAAACGGCCAGGCGCACTGGCGCCAGTGGTGGTGCCAGCCGCGGTAGCGACACGTGTCGGCGTCTGAGAGCGCGTACTTGGGCGCGGTGGTGTAAGTGATGGAGCCCTCGTCGTCTAAGTCGATGGACCACCTGGAAAGAGACAGAGCGTGAAAGGAAGGGGTTGATCATCGGCTTTGCAGCGGAGATACAGCGAATTTGAGAAAGAAAGAAGACAAGAAGAGTGATGAAAAGAAAGGGATCTAGAAGAGATATGAAAGCTAACGGGAGGTTTCCGAGGCAGGATTCTGCTGATTTAAGCGTGATCAAAGGCGAGACACTGTCTGGTGGTTAAAATCGGCCATGGTTTTGGCCTCGGACCTTGTCTTTGAAGCAGACACACGGGACATCTGAACTTTCAGTGATTGGTTGGAATACTTGATTGTAATACTTGAATCAACGTTCGTTGCATCTTACTCGTATGTTCCCGCTTCCTGTAGACAGCTGCGAATGAGCAATTATTGAAAAGTTTTAAGCGCTCCTTCCCTTGATAGAAACAGAACGGCCAGAAAGAGGTAGCGCAGGAAGCGGAAGACGTACCAGGTAATCAAACCTTGGGCCGTGCCGTCTACACATGACGTCACGTTGAGAGCCACGTGTCTGTCGCCGGAAGGAGGAGCTGCAAAGTCGAAGTCGAACACGGGAAATGGAGCCGAGAGCTGCACTGGCGCGTAATGAAACGGTCAGATTGCAGGCAAGCACCTAAGTACACTTGTTTGGATACGTCAAGCTGAAACGGACGAAGCAAATAGAAGAAAGATCGCGGAAAGAAGTCGGCTAGCCCTTGATAGATTCGTCAGATCACCCTGTTTTCAAACCAAAGGTTAAGCATTTGTCTGACTATAGTCTCCACGTTAATCTCCACGATCAAGTTTTGGGACGAGTATTGAGAGGCACCGACCAGGCCAACGTATGCTGCCCCGATAAAAAGAAGACTTACAGACGCAACATCCTTTGAGGGAGAAACCACGGCATAATCTGTGCTGACAATCCAATCTTGGTATTTGCATTTCCTTGCCACTTGACGAATGGTTCCTTTGCAGTGCCAAAGGCAAGCCGTTGATAGCTTGAAACTGCATTCTCCCACATCAAAACACTGTTGTCAGTGCTCTCCCTCCTGATGTACGTCCAATGATAAACTTCTGAAGTACTCACCGGCTTCAGACTGTCGCCAAAAGCGTCCACGTGTACCGCCCACGCCGGCGGGCCTCTCCCCAGGCACGCTTCCGGACCTGTCGCGATTCGGACGCCGTCCGGCAACCCCGCTTCGCGTCCCGACAGATCGTGACACGTCCGGAGGTATTCACACTCGACGAGCTGCGCATACACGCGCGCGCGTCGGGGGACGGTGCGTGCGCTGGGGCGCAGGCGGCGCGCCCAGGCGTCGCGGAGGGTCGGGAGGAGGCCCTCGCCCAGGAGCTCGGAGTCCAGGATCTCTGACACCTGTGACGTCAGAGAGGAAGCTGTGTGACGTCATCAAAATGACATTGGAACGCGGCTTAGTCTTGAGGGTTTTGGGTCTGATTGGAAGATGGGCTGCCGGCTGGAGGAGTGAACGAGGGTCGGGAGGAGGCCCTCGGAGTCCAGGATCTCCGACACCTGTGACGTCACAGCAGAGACGTGAGAAGTCATTGTAAAAGACCTCAGCTCACTTCTGTCTTCGAAGTTTTTGAGCTCTTATTTGGAGAATTACTGCCGGCTGGACAAGCGAATGAGGGTCGGGAGGAGGCCGGCTCTCGCCTAGGAGCTCGGAGTTCACATCTTTCTGACACCTGAGACGTCGTTGCGGAAGCTGTGTGACGTCATCGAAAGTGAGATTGAACATGGCTTACAATTTTTTCGTCTCGAAGTTTTACATCTGTCGAGTCAAAGATGTGCTGCGGCAGGATGAGCGAGCGAGGTCGGAAGGCCTCTTTCGGAAGCTTAGAGTCCAGGATTATCGACGCCTGTGACGTCATAGTGGATGTGTGACAATTTCGTCAGAAGGAAATGGTGGCCCTTGCCAGTAGCTTGACAATTCGGATCTCTGACACTTGTGACGCCACAAGCAAGGAACTACGACTTGGCATTGAGAACGCCCTTCAATTCTTATGGTTCGAGGAAGATAACAAACTCTTGCATGGGGAACAAAGTTCGTTATTTGTTTGAGAAGGGGGTGCCTTCAGCTTTTAAAGGTCGAAGACACGTTTGGTGACAACTCTTGGTCGGTTTGTCGCATCTGCGTCCCTGACATGCGACTTTCCCACAACCTGGTTCGTTTGGTGACGGTTTTCAAGAATTCAGAAAGCTTCTTGTTACGTGGAAGGTTGTGATGGTAAACCTGGTCACATGCGCCTGGACAGTGTGCAGTTGGTACATTGTCATTTAAAAAAGCACCAGGAAGAGCCGAAAACAAGGTCCAAGAGAAGGGATAAACGCAACGAACCTTACCAACACATCCGCCTGCCTTGGCAGCTCCCCCCCGTCCCCAACTGTCAGCTCATCCGAGCGCTTGTTGAATACCCGGATGTCATCCTTCATACCGTTTGCTTGGATTACTGTCTCTGCTAATTGTGCCATGGGAGGGAAGGACTCGCAAGTGAGGACTTGCGGGCATGCTGGGTTGTCTGGTTTGGTGTGTGCTACAAGTTCCGGGTTAAGATCGGGGTTAAGGAGAGGGGGGCTGGGTAGCAGGGTGCTTTTCTTCCTCAGAGCCTGCGCCGCCAGCATGGACAGAAGTCCGGTTCCAGTCCTGTAAAAAGGGGATTTCCCTTTTTTCAGGACTGATGACGAACTTCGTGATGTCAGGTCCAGTTCCATTGTATTCATCCTTCTTCCCGCCCCATTCGTTAAGGTTATTTATCTGATAGACAAGATGCAAGTGAGGGCCCAAAAAGCTGCATAAATGAACGTGCCAAGCAAACGCTGTACACAGGTCTTGATTGCGATTGGTTACCTGCAGTTCAGTCCCTGCAGTCACCATACTAATTCACAAGAGCTAGGAGATGGCAGACCCGGGGATTCACGATGGAAGAGTGAGACCCTGCGATTGGGATGGCTTTCTCCAAAGCTCAGAGAGTGATGCGCAGGACTCGCTTCCAACGCGCAGGGACTAGTGCTTTTAATAGCATGATGCTTGATGTGATAGATCATCAGAGTGGAGCAGGAAAAAGAGAAATTGCAGCTACACAACGTTAGCTCACAGACCCGCAAAACAGGAAACATTAATCCAGCACCGCTTTGATCAGTTCTCATTGAAAGCAATGCTGATCATGATTAGCACGAAAGCTCACCCGATGTCTAGCACCAGGTCCCCAGGCTGCACCACCTTTGCGATCGCCTCCGCATACGCCCGATTTCTCGCCCCATCATTCAGCATGTCAAGATACGAAGACTGGACGACAGCTTCGTTCCAGTCCCCTCGCTCACCACTACTGGTAGTCTCGACAGACTCTATGCTTTGATCTGAGCTATCCTGGGAAGGTTCAGTGCAAACAGACGCCCCAGTCTGCTCCCCGACCACCACCCAGTCTACAGCGCCAGTCAGGGGGTCCACCCTCTGAGCAAACATGTGGCTGTTCATGGCAGCATCTTGCTCCTGCTTCCTACGCTCAATACGCTCTTGTATCCTCAGTCTTCTCTGTGATGACGCTTCGTTTGGCTCTGCTTTCCCTGCTAATGCAGAGTCTTTCAGCCGTTCCTTTCCCAGGGGACTTGAGCCGGCCATGGCCCTCACAGCGAAAAGTCCAGTGACTCTTTGGCGGGCCACTTTGCTGACCAGCATTTGAGACAGCGTTTCGTCCTGCTTATTTTCACAATGTCAGGCAGACGCTTTGGCACATTAGCACTTCCCAGGTTGGCATTGACCATACTGTGCAAACTAGGTGATCAAGAGGTCCATGACATCCACTCAGGGAAACGTCAGAAGCCGCTTGCGGAGACCCCTTACCTTGAATGTGGTGAGCAAGAGCTTGGCATTCATTATCATGGCAATAATAGATCTGCTCAGGCTGTTTCTCAGCGAAGCCTGAGCCTGAGGCTGGTCCCTCTGTTGTTGATCATCACAACATCGATCGGCTTCTCTAGTCTTCGACTATATCGGCCCTCTAGTCTTCGACTGTTTAGGCTTAGCATCGGTGTGACCAGCATGTGCACCGGCAGATCGAACGGTTCCCCTCAATCAAGACTGCATATTTGCTTGAGCAAAGTCATATTAAAATTAGAGAAACGGCTGCCGGTCCTGGCAGCAGGCGCCCGTCTTCTCGCACCGGAAGCAGAGTTTTCATTCGCGCCAAAAGTTCAAACTTCAGAAGCAAGTCTGAGAGCTCTGCTGCCAGTGCCAGTGCTGGGAATCGGATCTTCAAGGTGAACGTTGAATGGGCATAGCCAGTGGCAGGAGGAGATTGACTTCGAAAGAAGAGGTGCGAGCAACTACCGTAATTTGCATCTCATGTATTTGGGAATCCAATCCAGCGTCACTGCGTGATCCAGCCGCACGCAACATTGCGGCACCCGCAACTTGTCAAGCTCGAGGCAGTTTGAAAGCACACGTTCATGGCGCTGAAGAAAGCCACTGCTCCTGCCTCCATTCTTGACTTGGATCCCGATTGTTTGGAACGGATCTTCAACCTTATCGGTGGACGCCCCAGGGATGTAGCGCCTCTTGCTGCGGTGTGCACTCAGTTGCGCGCCTATGCAGAGAACAGCTTTTGGAGGGATAAGTAAGTTCCTGCGTTCTGCAGCATAACTTGTTTGGAGACCTTTGTCCTTCTTCTGGTCATAGGTATGGCTGATAGGCCAACTCAATGAACCAGCTGTCTTCACCTTCTAATACCCTGCAGCGTTTTATAAAGTGCACTCATGTGCGTTTTGGAAAGTATCCTCGTTTATTTCATTGTTGATAGATTAGATAAGAAATGATAGCGGAGGTACGGGCTGTTGTCTGACTGACATTACTCTGAATAAATAGGTCTCAGATTTGCACCAGGTCCTTATTTTAGTATGAAGCTCAATCTACAAGGAAGTCATTGTGAGCAGCCTATAGCCTCCTTCAAACAGCAGTTTCTCAGCACTTGAAACTGCCCCCATGGGTTTGGAATATCTTGCCATGGACAGAGCTCCACACATTGCTGAACCACTTGACTTACCAGTGAACTCCAGCCTTGCACAGGCTTCCTGACGAATTCTCGCATAGTCTCTTGCTAGCTGCTTTTCTGCTCTTCAATAGGCTCAGGTTTCTTATGCTTGACCGTATTTGACATCTTCGATGACACCAAGTCACCCCATTATGACTTTGGCTTTCCAAATTTGGGCATTTTACCTGCAATGTGATATAATGTTGATAAGCTTCTGATCGCTTCCCCTGCAGGTGCCTGCAACTGGCCAGCAGCCTCTGTGAGGACCTTGGGTACAACGGTGTGAATACTCCCCCCAGCGGTTGGCTTGGCCTGTTCAAACTCCTAACGTACTGCCCCGGCCTCTACCCCACCCTTAAGCACGCTGTTGTCATGGACGACATAGAGTGGAACGGCCACGGCTGGTGGGAGTACCTGGGGCATGTGCAGAGGAGAAGCGCCGAGTTTCGTTGGCTCACTGGGGAAGAAGCGGTCGCCAGCCTGCAGCTGCAGGCTGCCTTTGCAAAGGACGAGTTCCTGGTCTCGGAGCTGTGCTACCATAGCTTGTCAGATGACAGGGATATTGAGCCGACGGGAAGAGGGATCCCTGCCAAGTGCTTTGGGGCTAGGGGCATTGTGAAAGACTTCGCAGAGTCTGAGATCGCAAAAGCCATGGACGTGGGGCCCCCTTCTCAAGGCAGCGGAAAGACTGTGGTGCCACTGGTAGACTCAGTCTGTCCTTACTGCGCGAAACCCCTTTTCAAACTGGATGTCTTCTGTGAAGGCGCGTGCGTTGAGGGGTGCGTTTGTGCGGAGGGGCATTTGCTGCTCGGAGTCACAGGCCAAGAGCCTGCGGAAGCTTTAGGATTTGCGACCAGGCAAGGCTCACAGAAGGGGACCGAGATTGGGCAATCGGGAGCTGCCAAATTCATGTGCAAGCACCTTCCGAAGCCCGACAAGGTTGGCACCTTGCAAGAAGGGGCGGAGTTCCTTCAAGACTTGGACTTGACGAGACTCGTCCAAGTTGCGGGGCGGTTGACAAGCATTCTGACGCCTTTGGAGGAGCGCGGCTACTATGACCGTGCGAAGGATCACAACTCCCGGCCCCCGTGGGTGCCGCTCGAACTGTATGCATTGAACCAGTTCTTGAGGAAGTCGGAAGCGGACTGGACGAAGCTTTTTGACGCGATTCTTACGGGGCAGACGGACCCCCAAGTGGAGATGACGGCGGTTATCACCAGGAAGGAGCGCAGGGAAGCGCTCGACGCAGCCTCCTTACATGGCTGGTTTTCCTACCGGCATGTCCGCCACCCGGAATCCGTCGAGGAATATCTGCAAGTGAGTACACGCAATCCCACACACATCTCCGCTCTTATCCATGGCGCTACAATGGTTGCCGCAAGAGTCTTCCTTATAGCTCGTTTGTGTCCCATCTTCCAGCAACTGGGCACGGTAATGAGGACAATGGCTTGAGGACAGGCTGCTCGCACAGATCTGGTAATAGATTGACCGATTGAAGGCTGTTTTCTCATCGACTGAGGAGCGAAGTAAGAGCTGGTTGAATGCACCATATCTCGACGAATTGTTTTATCCATAGGCAATTGTCAATCCAATTCTTTCAGCCGCCAACAGTTTCTGATCTTTCTGGTCATGGACAATCATTCTGACATACGCCGTTCTTGTGCTTTTCCTTGGCACGCTTTGTCAGACTCTTTCGACTGGGCTTACGGGTCCCTGGAAAGTTTCTTTCTACTTTTTGGGTATTCTTCTCAGGGCCGGACCGGTGGACTGCCGTTGAACGGCTGGTCATTTCCTTGATATGCCTTGCTGTTGTTTTTGAATGAGCTTTGGGTTCCTGGGACAATGCTCAGCTCTTCGAACCTAAAGGTTCGGAAAGACTTGGAGCAGTGACACGGTTGGTCAATGACCGATGAACAGGAACCGATCTTTCCAAATCTATCATCGAGACGATTCTACATTTCTTGTTGTTGAAGCAACTGTCCTTTGTACCAGAGATCGTCAGATTTGTGTTGAGCCTACCACAGGAATGACTTGCCAGCACTCCCGTATTAAGTAGGAGGAACCGTTAAAACCGGGGTAACCTTGACAACGAAGATTGATCCTCTGAATACGGGAAAGCTTGTTGGTTTACATGTTTACCGCCCTGCGAAAGTCCTTGCTCTCGGGCGCTTCTTGCTGTGGGCAGTTGCCTCGATCCGAGCCTCGTTGAGTCGCTAAGTTTCATTCTTGCCTTTTCGTCTTTTGGATTTTGTGACATTGATGACTCGGGACTATTGGCAACAGCATCGAGCCATCGAAACGAGATCTGACATTCGCTTTCGATTGTCCTGTAGGGCGGGGACCTCTCAGCGGAGGACGTACTGCACCTGCAAAAGACCACAAAAAGGCCACCAATACTATCCACATGGTAGATGTCTGTAGGGCTTTCAAAGCTTGACTTGGGGGAAGAAAGTCATCCATTTATGTAGGCGTGAGCGTCTATAAACATATCCAGAAATTATACTACTAGTCGCCGAGTCGGTTCAAGATCCTCTAGGACTTTGTACTCTCCCAGCTCAGTCGCGTGAGTGCAAGAGATGCGCGCAGGCGGACATGGGTGTCTTACTTGGCAAGGCCTCGAGCCCGTCATGGATTATTACGGTTGTGTTGTGTCTTTGCGATCATCATTGGTCGTCGTAGATTTAAAATGGGTCTGCATGCAATTTCAATACATGCAATTGCTGATTTAGTATACATCTAGATAACGTAATCGATCTAATGGATCGTAGCATGTAAATCTGCCTCTGAGTCTCACAGGCCGCGGCGCATGCCACTGAGGTAATACCACAGAGTATCAGAGAGCGATCGGACCATGTGGTAGGTTGGCCACGTTGCCAGAACCGCGGCTCCCGGCCGAGCCTCGGGAGTCCAGCTTACCCATGCCATCCGATCATGTTACGGATCCTTATTGACTGAACATCCATGGGGCCCACAGCGGCCCGGTGGAGCGGCCGCGCATAAATTCGGCGCAGCGCCGCGCAGCCAGCTGGCAGGCTCATACTGACTCCTTGACATGTTGGCACTACCATTACGCGGGACGGTCCTGCAAGTGGCATGTGAATCATGCGGGATACAAATCATATGCAAGCAAAACCATGCCATCAGCGCGGATTCTGTATTATACTAATCTAGCTATGTCTTAAAGCCATTCCTTCTATCGGTGCACGCCACGTGACCCGCACGGTTGCCGGCCCTGCAGCGCCGTTGAATTGCAATACTCTCAACACGCAGTCAGTTCCAGCCCCCCAGGCTGAGTGAGTCTGTTCGACTGCCAGGAGACCCCCCGCGTCCCAGTGCGCTCGCGCACGCTTGACGCTTCCCACGATTCTCACTCTGCGGGGCCAGGCTTTCTCGTCGCTGACTACCATCGTTTCATAACGAAGCTTGCGCGCTTCCTGACTCTAGCTGACGTCACTAACAGACTCATCTGACAAAAGTTTGACGTGACCGCGTGGCGTTGGGTCGTCGGCTGATTATTTAGAAAACTCACTCTGTGTCACGGCTTACCGCACAGGGACCCGAACCGCAATTGCATTCATACTGGATGTGACCTTTGATGTGACGTCCGAACCAGGATTGAGCAGTCCTCTTGTCGCTTTAACATAGAGGTTGCTGAACTGAACCTAGGGCAAAAATCTTTCTGTAAGAGTTCTTTTAAACATGTTCCGGCCCGCCGAATTTTAGAGGCCTTCTCCTAGTACGCTACTAAGAATCGCAGACAAGATTGGGGAACGTGAACGGAGACTGGACGCACGAAAGAATGAAACTCAAGAAAAATAATAGTAAGCCGAGATAATAATAAGGTAACCGCACTGGGACGGGTAGGGTTAGTTTGGTGGTTAGGGTGGGTACGGGTGCGGAGCAGGTATCTTTTTGGGTTAGGGTTTTTAGTGTCAGTCGGAGCTTATTGTTATCTTGGCTTATTATTATCTTTCTTGAGAATTATCACGAATGACCAGCTTCCAATGAGCTTACAAGGGCAAGTCTTCATCAGCGGCATAGGTGTTCACGCGGCGTTGAAACTGACAAGTTGGAGCGTTCCGAGGGGGGGAGATGACTGCCGTCTTGTTTCTTCGTTTGCTTTCAGGAAACGCGCCATCTTGAAGGAGCCAAAGTCGTGGATTCCGAGAAACCTGCGGGGAAAGGGTGTCAACTTCGAGACTCTAAGGCGCAACTAAGCTCCTCTCAGCATCGACTTACCCGACATTGTCGTAGAATCGCGTCAGGGCCTGTTTCTTTCACCCTCTTCAAGAAACAGTTGCAGACGAGAAAGCTACATCAGACTGGCAGAGAGTCCTGAAAAGAAGAGGGAGTGAATTCCTGGTACGCTTAGAAGGGTTGGTTCTGTTTTAGCTGCCAGTCACAGGAGTCGCCTCTTCTTGAACCTGGTGGCGAAGAGGATCTTCTCCAAAGGCCGCTAAGGAAGCTAGAAGATTGTGAAGCTTCTTCTTCACAGGAACGGAAACTAGGGATTCTTTCAAGATTGGCAGAAGCATGTGGGCGGCAAAGTGGATGAGGAGAGTGATTGCAGAAACAGGGGCGACTGATGCAGCGAAAGCGGCGAGGCAACAATGAGCGCCAACCGGAGTGTTGCTCAAAGCTTCTGAGAGCTGTCAGAAACAGCTTATGAAAGGGCAAGGGAAACAAGTCTTAAACATTGAAACTAGAGGGCTCCTGCGCACGATAATATTTTAGCATGGGGGAAGTAGTTACCGAAAGACGAGAGCCCTTTGGTTTCCTTACCCGCAGAGGGAGTGACCGCTTTAGCGATCTTCCCCCGATCAAAACCGCTCTAATTAGGGCCGTCATGACAGAAAGGATCACCGTGTCACGGTCGCAGTCCGTGGCGTGGGATCGCCGGAATGGCTCCAACGGAACGAACCGCTCCACGTCCAACGGAAGAGGAAGGGCGGAAAGTGGGGGCTTGCGTCAAAGTTCGGCCCCGGAACTGGCCGAAATAGGCGAGAAGATGGCCTTTTTTGACGCGGACAAGCCAGACCAGGGGCTCAATGAAGTACCCAAAGAAACATTTGTGACGTCAGCAGGGGGTAGCTTGACGTCAAATGACAGGGGCGAGACGTCAGCCGGGACGAGCGTGACGTCAGCAGGGGGCATCGCGCCGCTCTCAAGAGAGCCCAGCAGAGCCCTGAGGGACAAGTTTGTCCTCGAGAAATGGCCTTCGGCAAACAATGGCCTGGAAGCAATTCAAAGGGATCCCGCTGACGTCATCCTTGGCGCAGACGTTCGGGTTGACAGCTCGAGTTCCGTTTCCGTTCCGTCCTGGAGAGGCTTCGACAGCGCGAAGCGGCCGCGGTGGCTGCGCGCGCAAGGGCAGGAGGCGGAGGCGCTGCTTCCGGCGGAAGAGGAGGGCGGGCTAGCGGGACCGGAACCGCAGCGGAATGAGCTTGGTTCTGACACTCCAAGTAAGGAGAACGGACCCAGAAGTAGGTCAGTCTCAGGGGCGAAGCAAACGAGCCAGGCAAAGGGTGGAGGGGAGTCTGACAGTAAGAAGGAGGCGTTCAATCCGCTGGAAGAAAAAGTGTGCGGAATGGATCTGGTGGTCGGATCGAGGGAGGCGGAAGCAGTGGTGCCGGACGCAGTGCAGGAAGGGGCTTACGGACCAGCGAGCGGGAACGGAATGCGTCAGCGGAATGCAGAGGTGAGGACGGAGCGCTCAATCGTTTTCACCAGGGTTTATAGGACGCCAGAAAGAGACCATGTGAGAGATCACCCCGGGTTGACAGGTTAAGAAGGAAGGGCTAGCACTGCTGCAACAGAAAAGGACTTGGTTCAATTGTCGAGAATCACTTTGAGTTCATTTCTGAGGAGCGAACCATACTCTATGCTGCAAATATTATAAACCCTGTCTTTGGGATTTATCCTTAGCCGGATCCCTCGTCACTTTTTTTACGCAAAGCTTTCCGACGTGCCCACCGTAGACAGGTCTGACGATCTTTTCAATACTCCGGATCTGGAAGAGCTTCAAGCAAGTCGATGGAGAACTTGAGGTCTTGTTCCCTGCGAAGAACCTAAACAAGGGTCTCTGGCGCGCAGGAAAGTGCTTATGGCAACGGCGGACGGCGGGACGATGAGAACGGAACGGAAAATGGAGAGAACTGGGTGCTCGAGGGCGACGACTCTAGCACTGAGGGCGACACGTTCACTCACCGGGAAGATGTCCGGAAGGGTTCTAGTTCGGACACGGAATGTAACGGAAACGGAGCGAAGGCAATAACGGCTGTCACAAGGAGGACGCAAGCAGTTGAAAGCAAGAGCCCACGGAACGGAAGCGATGGGAAAGAAACGGAAACGGACAGCTTCGAACGCATGCGTCTCGTGGATGTGCCAAGAGAGGTGAGAACACTACCGGGAAACACGGAGAGTGCCGGACCAAAGCTCCGTGTGGCGCTCCCCGACGTGCCCGACGCAGCGGAACAACGGACAGCGGAACCGGAACCCGATGTTGACGTCTTCCGCAACCGAGTCCTCGCGCAGGTTTGTGCCCCGCCCATTCTGTGATTTGGCCCGTTTTGTGGTCTGCCCATTCCGCCATCAGCTTTTCTTTGCTGCCTTTGATGGAACTTCAGCTTGACAAGAAATTAACCGCAGATTAGACTTCCTTGCTCACAAGACTAAGGTATCGGCCTATACCAGATTTCGAATTTGCGTCCTACACCAGTTTCAAAATCCTATGACTGCCAGAGAAGAACAAACCCTAGATTCGAACTTGACAAAGATCAATTTCCTAGCCCTCTGTCAAGCCAGAACTAAATCTATCCCTTCTCGGCAGAATGTCAAAGGACAGGACAGGACAGGACTTTGTTTCATATTCTAGCAGGTGCCCTCGTATATCTCCGATGCATTTACTTTTTGTGCAGGGATGCTTGAGCGCCTCTCCTCCACTTGGCACCCGTCTCGGTGGTCCGTCCATTTCCGGCGGTCCGTCCGTTCCGTCCATTCCGCCCGTACGGACCAGTCCGGAAATCTCATCCAACTCCGGCCATGTACCTGGTTCCGGTCCGTTCGTTTTCGAGGACATTCCGTTCGATCCTCCCTTGCGAACTACGAAAACTGTGTCCGTTCCGAGCGTTTCATCCGTTCTCGAGCTCAAGTCTGTTCCGTCCGTTCCGTCCGGTGCCAGCGTTCCGCCCGCTTTAGCCCCCGCAAGCCCTGCCTTTTCCTTCGTTCCGGCCAGGATGGTGGGGGCGCTCAAGAAGCGAACGGAACGGCAAACGGAGACACGGACGGAAGATGAAAGGGACGAGGAAACGGAACGAGGGATGGAATTTCGCCCGGCGACTTGGAACGTCGGGCAGAGTTCCGTCGATCTACGCAACGGAACGTTCCGGGTCCGCGACAGCCAGGGTTTCAGGGTTTGGGCGAGCGCGTTCGGGGCGTCGCGGCCGGTTCTGGCCGGAGAAACAAACAGGGGACTCGAACCCAGTCCAGAACCGATGGTTAAGGACATGGTTAGTGGGACGCTTCGGACTTCTTTGGACGCGCAAACGGACGTTAACCGGGCGGTGAAGACTGCGATAAACCCTCTGTTCGAGCTCTTGGCGACGCCCCCGGTTACTTCCCCGGTTAAGTCCCCGGTTAGCGCATCAAGTCAACCCCCGCTACAAGCCTTGGCTAACTCTCCGAACGACAAGTCCGGTTCCGGATCTTCGTTCAGATCACCCGCCATCGACACCCCGGTCAGGTCTCCGTTAGGCAAACCTCCGCTTAATCGAACGCTGAGCATCCCGGTTAAGCCCCCGGTGAGTCCTAGTCCAAGCGCCTGGGAGACGGAAACAACGGAATCGACAGAAACAACGGAATCACCGGTCGAGCGGAGACACGCCTTGACGGCCGGAGGGCAACCCGGGTTACCGACCGGGTTAACGACAGGGCTCTGGTCCGGAAACCGACCGCCACCAGAGATGAGGGGAATCTGGGCGCTCCGCAAGAGCTGGGATGTGGCTGCGAAGACGGTTAGGCAAACCCAGAGCTTAACCCTCACAAACTCGGAACCGCCCCAGGAAGCGCCCACCTTCAAACCCTTCAAGCTTCCGGAGTCCCGCGCGCTCGTAGTGCGCGCGAGCAAGCCGAGCGAAGCAGCCCTGCTTCCGGTTACGCAAACCCAAATCTTGACGATCGCAAACCCAATTCGGACGCCAACCTTGGAGGCCCTGTTTCCGACGCGGTTGAAGCCGGGGGAGCGGTCAGAGGACGGGACGCCCGGCAAGGTGCTGCTGCGCAGGGCCCTCTCGGTCGGGTTATGGCGGAAAAAGCGGTTTGGGGGATTGACCGGTGGCAATAACCGGGCAGGGTTATCGCAGAGTCTTGGGGTCTCGGAGACCGCAGGAAAGCTGCCGAGGAGCCTGACTGAGGGATCCCTTCGAGGGGAGAAACCGCGACGGAAGCTGAGCCACAGCCGCAGTCTCTCCGCAGCAATTTGGAGTCGCGCAGGGGTGAAAACCAGCTTGAGACTGCCCCCCCCGGAAGGCCGGAACAGTGCCGCGGGGAAAGCCGGGGGCCCTGTGGCGCTGAGGCGGTGCTATATCAAGCGGCTGCGGGAAGTAACGGATGGAGAAACAGGGCCTCCGGCATACAGCCTGGCGGAGGATCCGGCGGGGCCGGGCGTGCTGAAGGCGTTTCCGGCGGGCGGAACGGAGCAGCGGAGCTTCCGGATCTTCGCGGGGCGGAACAAGCGCGTCTGGCGAGCAGCCGCGAAGTGAGTCAACCGCTTGATTGATCACACCTTTTGGGAGCGTGTTAAAGCCCAAACGAAGCCTCTTCGAGTTCGACACGCATTTCAATGATTCAAAAGCTTAAAACTGTCCACAGTTGAACCTTACAGGACAGAAGTTGCTCAGGCGTCACTAGAACTGAAACTGACCCTTCGCGCGGCCCGTAGAAAAGCAGATTCCTCTTATTATCGGGCCGAAAATTGCGTCTCCAGGCACCAAAAGAACAGGACTGCCGTGATCCACAAGATACGGACGGCTTACCTAAGCAATCCTCGCTCCGCCGGCCGCTGTCATTTGACTTGATGGCTTCTTGATAATCGAGCTCGTGTTTGCGTTCCAAATGAGATCCCCGGCAGCCTTGCCGTCACTCAATCTTTTTCCTGATTACGTAAACTTTCCGCGAAGGAGTTGCTTCGATGGTCTCATAAACAAGGCCGCGCTGAGAGGATACGGTTCAAACATTCTTTTCTTTCTTCAGGGGCAAACAGCAGCCCATTGCCGAACTGGCGGCCTCTTCCGGCGGAGCACAGTTCGTCCTGTTCCAACTGGGCGGAATCCGATACCAAGCGGCGCGCATGTCGAACCGAAAAATGGGATCGGAAGCGGGCTGGAAAGGCGCGGAGGCGTCTGCTTCGGACGCCCGAACGGAGACCATGGCGCTGTCCGACGAGGGCGGGCGGCTGGTCGTGGTGCTTCCGAGTGACGTCACGCGGACGGTAATTGATGTCACGCGGGTAGCGGCTAGCCGCGAATAGAGTTTGATGTTTTCAAAACATAGAAGATGGAAAATACTTGTACGTTTCGTCGAGCTTCTTTTCTTTGAACTTTTCTTCCAACTTTCGAAGTTGGACACAAATTCTACCTCAAGACCAAGATTTGTCTATCAGAAGCTTTCGGCAGCTTTCAATCCATTCTTAATCGGGTCCAAACCAGTACGATCATTCGACATTGTCGAGGGTTTGAGAAGGATTTCGATCTGTTGTGGCGCTCAGAAGCACCGATAGACTCTCTTATCATTTCGTGAAAGAGAAACGGAACGGAAAAGCGCTGAATGTTCTATTTTATAAAGTAAAGACGTAATGACGTGACGCTGCGGCCTCACCGCACATGCGACCAAATTAAACGTTTTCCAGAAGGGCCCAAAATAAGGTCGAGATGCGTGCAAGTCTTACTGCCCAACACAACAAAAGCTATGACAAATCTGTTCCCTGAATTTTGCGGAGGTACCCAAAAACTGGTTTCTCCGCGCAGTGCTCGACGCCGCTGCTCGCCAAGTGGCGCTCACCCGAGGCCGCCTGCGACTGTGGAGGCTGGGACGAAAAGTGCCACGTGGACGTCTGCGAAGGAAGGAAGCCCAAGGGGCGCGAGAACGACGAGCTGGCGGGCGCCGATGGGTCCGGGGCGCTGAGAATAAGCGGCCAGGTGCGGATTCACACTGCGATGATTAGAGTCTGTTCTTCGACCAGACAAGGTTTCAGGATTTGATCAGATTGAGATTCGAAAACTGTGTCAGAGCGGCGTGTGACGGCAGCAAACTGAGCCAGGAGGAGCCGGCTAACGTCAACGGCCGACAGAACGAATAGTGCCATCTGTGCTTGCCCGCGCAACGGAGGTACCTCTGCTGACGTGGCGTCGCCGCCTTCTACGCATAACGACGTCAGCAGACCATTCCTGCCAACAACCCGTTTCCGACGCGTAGAATAGTCTGCGTAGCTCTTCGTGCAACTGGTTGGAGACTCTTGGCTCACCATTCCGCGCGCAGGATGACGTCAGCAGGACGTGTCTGGTGATGATGCATGCCGGGGGGGACGATTTCGTGCTGGAGCACCACCCCCGGCTGAGCGCACTCCAGGCGTTCGGAGCGGCGGTCGGAGTTCTGGAAACTCTGAGAAAGTGAACGCTCATAAGCTGGTGACGCAAAGAATTCAAATTAGGGAATATATATTTGGGGTCAAAACAAGCCCGGAATTCGACCACTGACCTACTAGCATGGTGAGCCTCGTCGGAGAATGAGAAGAGTTTTGGAGGTATTGAGAAGCTGCGGACGGGCCGAAAGAGGGAGTGAAGAGAGAGGACAAGCGGTCGGAGCTGAAAAGTGTTAGCAAGGGTGACAAGTGAGAGGGTGTGAGGGCGGCGGGACCATCTGGGCGCGTCATGAGATTGCGAGGAAGTGAGGAGAAATTGAAAGGAGCGAGCAAAGTGAGCGGAGAGCAGTGGTAAGAGACAATGATTGACTGCACGAGCCGAAAAGAGCAGCAAGCAGAAGGAAAGTACGTGGAAAAAGATGTGTCAAGGACGGTTGTATAGCTGCGGGACGAAGCAACGAAGAAGAAACAATGGGGAGTGTGTGCTAGTAAGAAAACAAGCGCTTCGGCGGAAAGAGTGAGGTCTCGTGGGAGTAGAAGAAGAGGAGATCTGATCGGCGGTTGTTGGGGTTGTTGAAAGTATGCTAAGATTGTAATCAGGACTTTCGGCAGAGACTTTCAATATGGATAAGTCAGGGATTCCGCCTCGTATTTTGAATGTCAAGGTTTTGTGTGGTCCGTCAGGCGATTGCAGCCATCATAATCTGTACAAACCCTGGAGGTGTGGAGGATCCTAAGACGTAGACGCAGAAACTTTGGTTTTCATCGGCTTAATATTGTCGAAAAGCGTCCAGGAGACTCGAGGGTACGTAAGCAAGTCCGTTTATTGGTTGTGCAGTACACGACTGCAAGCAAGTTCTTCCTAGATAATCTCCTAAGATTTCATTTGCCACAGCCGATATCAACGTACATAGCACGGCCTACCCTGAAGCTTACTCTGACCGCGTCAAATCATGCTAAAAGCAGGCAAATAAGTTCATTGATGCAACTCCTAGACAAAACAACCTACCCGAATAAGTGGCGGTTTTGAAGGACGACAATAGCCTGCGGGAGATGGATGGCGCCAGCCTGAAATGATGCAACACGCATGTCTTTGACATGTCCTATACGAAAGGACTTTTGATGGTTGGAATGTAGACGCAGGCTGCAAACCCTGGAGTCGTTTGAGCTCCAACTGGTGACTAAGCTTCCATGTGAATTGGAAATGTGAGCTTGCTTGGGCTGGGAACAAGATCTGCTTAATTTCGTCGAAGCTGACGCTTGGAGAAGTCGATACTTTGAGAATTCTTCGTTTGATGAAGCAACGAGTGTGTTTATCGAAGTAATCTGGTTAGGGTGGAAGTCAATATTATATGATCATGTGATGAAGCGATGAGTGTCTGGGTGTAGGTTGGCTGGGCTAAGATTGAGGTGGAATGTATGGTGGGCGGGCCAGTGTATGCATTGGTTGGTAGTATGCAGGGGTTTGTGGAAGGTGCGTTGTGGAAAGCAATTTGTGTGAGAGGGTGTTTTGTAATGAGGGGGTGTATGTAGGCCGAGTCCTTTCCAGGTCAGCCTTTCAGAAATTCTTATCCCGACCCGAGGGTCATGGATAAGGGGGTTTGGAATATAGTTTTCAACCAGCAATAGACGCGTCTCGGTAAACCCTCACTGACTGCGTCATTGCCCCAAGCGCAAAGATGCCAGCCTTGGTGCGGAGCGACCGCTTATAAAGCGGCCGGGGAACGGGGGAGCTTGTGGGTCGGCGTGTCAAATTTGCGTCGACGTCAAACTCATCGATCGGACGGTTCGAAGGCCGTGTGGCGCCGATCGGACGGCGCCACGGCACAAACTGAACTTTAAAATTGCGGTATAGGTAGTTCACCGTCGCGAAATTGAGTAGGTGGGCAGTAAGTCAGTGGTAACCCGCGTTGCTAACCCACGCGGTCCTTGGGCTCGTCGAGTCAGTGCAGTGACCGCAGGCAGTAACCTAGCTACTGTAAACCAAACGGAAGCTTCAAGCCCACGTCCGAAACTCCATCTGTGTCATTTAATATGCAGGGCTTCAATCCAATGAAATGTCCCGGCATCAGGCTTCTGGCTGAGCAGTGAGCACTCAATAAGCTGCAAGTTGGCAACATGCATGTCCGGGCTTCCGCATTGGATTTGCAGAGTTGCGGCTTGCCTGGCGCTTGGCCGCTTTGCATATCCCCTTCTTTCTAAGTTTGCATGCCAGCATTTCAAGCTGACAGTCACTGAGCCACTTCAAAGCAACAAGGCAGTGGTTTTCTGATCAATCTTCCAAAAATTGAGACACGCTGCAACCGAAGATCCGGCTGGGCGGGAGTCTTGACCATACTCTGAATCATTATGTGAAGAAGTCGGCCGGAAGCATTCAATCAAGTGAGCTAGGCGGATCTCCCCATACACACCGCGTCATGTCCGATGCACGTGACTAAGTTCGGCTGTAAAGGATCTTCTCAATTCCTAAAATGTGCATGCATATAACAGCTGTGGAAAGTTGGGATTCTACGATCCGCCGTGCGCATCGGCGCTGTCACCCGGCATCTCAAGTGATTGGGCCGCCCGCGCTCATTGGACTATAGTTACGATCGAATTAGCGTGCAGGCTTCTGACTTGGCCGTACGCTGAAGTCCGGTCTAGTATATAGTATCGCGGTCCGCGGTCAGACAACTTTCATGGAATACCGACGGGATTCCAACCGAGACAAGACCGTTTGATCCCATGCCATTGCGTGCACGCGACAGTCCTAGCTAAGTTCGAGTCGAAGAGACATCGCGACCGGACTGATGGCAGTTCTTTGAAGAGCACGAGACGCTCGCATCATTAGCAGTATAGCTCCTCAGTCATATCAGAACTAAGTTGATCGGAAAGAACTCATTTACGAACACGCAAGGCAATTGCTGTTCTTGGACCAACGTACTGGTTGACGGGTCGGCAGCCGCTGCACGAGTGCCGGCTCAACTCAATTGACCCACTTGCGTAAGTTTACATCTTGACTGGTACCACTGAAACCAATCAGTACCTCGACCACTGCAGCAATTGCACTGCAATCCTGTCTTTGTCAGGCAATAATCCCGACCGTACTCAGAACGCTATGCGGCATATTTTACTTCCAACTTCTCACAAATTACCACAAGGTTTTCAACGTAATAGCTAAGTCATGTTTGACGTCACACGGGTTTGTAATTCCCAATATCTTCTAACCGACACTTGCGCCCGCAACTTGAATGGAGGATGCCTAGCATTGAATCGTAGAGCACCAGCAATAAACAGAAACCACCAGTAGTACAACTCGTTTCCTGACTACCTTTGCAACTCGCCACGTTAATACGCGCCTCTGCAACTTTACAAATCCGCCCAACACGGACTGTTGATACCTACGTAATCGTCGCTCTGAAACGCCAATGCCGATTGCACAAGACTCAGATCCCCCGCGTCAGTCCTCCCTCGTGCCACGTGGTCCACGTGGCTCACGTGGCACTCCCCCGGCCTCGTTTCTTGTAGGCTCAGGCTATAACCATACTTCGGCGGCTTAGGCAAGCCCAGTTCTGCGAACGCGTCCCCGTTCCTGAACAGGTCCTGTATGACCTCGGACCCAAAGCTCTGCTCCAGCGATGAGATTACGCTGTCCCACAACTCATCCGTAAAGTCAACGTCGCCGAAAACCGGATGCACCGACTCGCTTGCGAACCCCTCGGTCGCCATAGGAGGGTCAACCCGCAACCGCTTATGGCTAGGCGGGCCTTCCGCATATCTGGGTAAACTTTCCCGGGGGTTCTCGACTGGCGCTTCCAGCACTCCCCCAGGCGCGCGAATCGGCACCATAGGCGAGTGCAACGCCGGCATAAGCGCTCGCTGCCCCGCAGGTTCTGCGGCGTCAAAACGCGCCGCGGCGCTCTCTTTCTCGCTTGCGGAGAAATTGAGGAAGGCGTGATCTGGGGTGGCGTCTGATCGTTCAACTAAAAGCCTGAGCTCGGTCAACTGCAAACACAGAGAATTGGGTCGGACTTTTTCCGAACGCACGTTATCCGCCCCAAAGTTCAAGCCAGTGCCGAAGCAGGCGTGGCTTTGTCACAAGAAAGACGAGTCTTACATTCTAGACCTTTCTATATGGCTGACGACCAGCAGATGAGCGTCCTGCTTCAGATAAGGATAAAGTATAATACCTATAAGGATCTAAGAGCTATAAGACACGCCCGGGGAACGGGTGGGGTTGGTGTGGTGATTAGGGTGGGTTCGGGTGCGGAGCGCGTCATGTCTGTTGGTCAGGGATTTCGTTTGGCTTTCGTTCCGGGTAGGTTCTTACAGGTATTAGATCATTATAGGTTTTAAACTTGATGGGTATTGCTTCAGTGGCTTCCTTACATGATCCGACATAAGAGGCCGTCTGCAGCAAAATGAATAGAGGAGGAGACGGCTTCGAAGCGCTGAGACCCTCGTTCGGCAGATGCAAAGAGTGGCTCGGAAGCTATGTACCCTTGTGCGTGTACAGCACACAACGCCCGCAAGTGACGCCAGATTGAGCTTTTTCTTGGTTTGGGACGGCGTATTTAAGTTTACAGCAGAAGGCGCGCTTGCCCCGGCGTTCGAGAGTACGATGCCCGACAAAGTGTCCGTCACTGTGAGACTGAGCGAACACTGAGCGAACCAGTCAGGACGAGTGAAAGCTAGCGGAGCTATCGTAGTTGGTTCAGCGGACCTTGGACTCGGCCCACAGAAGTAAGCTCGAAAATCGGGCAAATTGAGTCTTTACACAAATACAGAGTATCTGGCGCTTTGCGCCATGAATGTGGGATTGCTAAAAGCAGCAGAAGTGTTTTTTGCCGAAACAAAAGGACCTAGTGACCAGCTTGTTGAGATTCGCAGTAAGGGGCGCCAATGCTTTGATTCACAAAGGCTTGGTTCGCTAGATTCGTGACGCATCTGCTTCCTACCCAAGCAGACAATGTAGAAGCCTCTCTCCCGTGAGCCGATATCACAGACCCAAAACTATTTGTTATATCAACGAACAGCGAAACCGGAAAGCTGCTACCTCTTTAGCATACTTGCCTCCACACTGCTTCCAACGGCAAAGGCAAAACCAATCAAATTCACAAGATTGATCGTTGACACTGTAAACAAGGGTTAAGGCCCTAACCTCCTGGCGCATCCGCTTGTTCTCTAGCAGAATCAGCCGGAAGTCCTTCTTAAGCAGGTCGTACTCCTGGGTCGTCTGCTTGCTCCGCTGCCGCGCCCTCCGGTTCTGGAACCAGATTGCCACCTGGCGCTCGGTGGTGCCCAAGTCAGCGGCGATCGCAGCACGACCCGCTGCAGAGACAAATAAGAATGAGACACGTGGCAGCAAAAGGGCAAAGTCGTAGCAGGTTGCCACCTGGCGCTCGGTGGTTCCCAAACCAGCGCAGCGATCGCAGCACGACCCGCTGCAAAGACGAATAAGAATGAGACACGTGGCAGCAAAACGGCAAAGTCGTAGCAGGTTGCCACCTGGCGCTCGGTGGTTCCCAAATCCGCGCAGCGATTGCAGCACGACCCGCTGCAAACACGAATGAAACGAAACACGTGGCAGGAAACTGGGTCCTTACAGCAGAGATTGCCACCTGGCACGCTCTGCTTCCAGATCAGCGGCGATCGCAGCGTGGCCCGCTGCATGAGAATATCAAGATGTGACACGTGGCAAGAAGACGATATCGTAGCAGATCGCCAGCTGGCGCTCGGTGGTATGGATCTCCAGTAATCGCGCGCGGCAAAGACGCAAAAACTTTGTTGCAAAATTGCTTGAATGTAGATGCTAGCTGGTGTGGTGTCAAGATCAGCGCCTTCAGAAGCATGGTGCCACGTGGTGATTTGTGGGTTATCGACAGCAGCTGTCAGAATTCACCCACTATCAAAACCAACCAACAAGAGCCACGTGGCAGAAGGGCGAAAAGTGGACAGGACTGATCATATTGACCTGTCCAAGTAGAGTAAGCGGCAGACGCTGCAAAGATCATGTATGCAACTGAGAGACGGATTACACATACATGGTAAAAACGTCTTAAGAAGAAAGACTTTGGAGAAGAACCCGCCGAAACCCGTAGCATTACTGACCCGCCAAAACCCTAAACCAGAAACTTAGATGGACTGAAAAAACCAACCTGGCGCTCCCGTGTACCCCCCCTGGTACAGTTTCTCTAGTTCCCGCACTTGCACTTTGCTCAGTTTCCGCTTTCTCTGGTCTCCACCCCCATCCCCTTGGCTCTCCCCTAATTCCTCCTCGCTCGCCTTCGACGTCCCCCCCTTCACAGACCTGGCCCCGGAAACGGCGGGGGCCGTCCGCTCCTGCGTGGACGATTGCTCGAGCTCCTCGGAGTCATGGTGGCTCACGACTAGTTGCATTATCTCCTGGGCAGCCTGGCTGGCGAAGACCTCTGCGACAAGAGGGGTGAGGGGGGGGGTTAAACACACAACCAATTGCAATTTACTTTGAGGGGGAACAGGGAGGGGGGCGGAGACCAGTTGCATCATGTCCTGGGCAGCCTGGCTGGCGAGGACCTCTGTAATGGGGGTGGGGGGAACGGACGTTCACGAAAAGATCTGGTGTGAAGTGTTTTCTAGGAGGGAAAGGGAGGGGCGGAGGCCAGTTGCATAGTCTCCTGGCTGGCTTGCGCAGAACTCTGCAGGGGGGCACCAAAGAAGAGACGGCGGCCCCAAAGAACAGTTGCAAGGTTTCCTGGGCCAGCCTGGCAAAAACCTCTGCAACCAGAAGGAGGAGGACGGGGATTCTTCAGAAGAGAGTCCATTGTAATTCTCTCCCTTGGATTCAAAAGGAGGAGGGCGAAGACCAGTTGTACGATTCTCTGGGCAGCCTTGCTGATGGCAAGCTCTGCAACCAGGGGGGGGTTCTATGTAGAAAGGATATGATTGTTGTTGAGTTCCTGGGGGGCGAAGGGAGGGGGGTCCTCTAAGTCCAGTTGCATAATGGATTGGGGAGCTTGGCTGACAAAATCTCCTTATCGAGGGGGAAGGGAGGAGGGGGGGGGGGCTTTAAGGGCATTTGTCAAGAGAGATAGAATGCGATTGGAATCCTTGAGGTTGGAGGGGAGGGGGGCGACTAGTCATTGCTTGGCGGCACACACTGGGAAAGACTGGCTGATGAACGATTCGTGGAAGAAGAGTAGGTGGGGCGATCCGAAAAAGCAAATGCCAGCTGTCATGTCTTCCTGGCATTGGCAAGTGTGTTAGCAAAGGCACAGGGTTTCCTTCCCTCAGATCATTGATAAGTTATGAGTCCCCACTCGATCAATTGAAACAATGCCGATGGGTTTCCTTGGTTTTCCTTCAAGCTACGACCTTCGGAACTCGCTATCCAGGTGTCTCAATTGAATCTGACAGCAGAATGCATGTCCAGTGTGTGGATCGAATCTGATAGTATGACAACTCAAGGATCGGCAAACCAGAGCAGCAGGAAGCTTTGTTGAGACGAGGGCAATGGAAAGACGCCAGACGGAAAGGAAACTTTGTTAGAGTAAATCCATGCTCAGGCCTCTTTTGAACATTACAAAAACTTGGATTTAACTCTAAGATGTTTGCCAGGGGAATGAATCGCAGCTCTGTGGGGCAGAACATGCAACCCCTGGAATGGACCCCGGCGAGAAGGTTGGGGAAGCTAATGAACGGCTGAAGGAATGGGGGCTAAAGAAACCTCTGAGGCTTTCTGCAAAAAAGGCCTTCGAAATGGAAGCTTGGATCCCTGTGAACACTGTAGAGGTCTTAGGACTATTATGGTGGAAGAGATAGCTCTTCCTTACCTTCTTTTGGGCAGCAAATAATGAAACCCATGAATGCTGCTTTTGGGAGCGCCACTTAGACCCCAGATTGAATCTTATATACAGGGACGGTGTGTTTTGTGGTCCAAATTAGCCAGACATGATACAGCTCGTTATATTGGAAAGTGCTGCCAGTGCCAATGCCAGACGATCAATAAACAATCTGACATCTAAACTATTACTTTGCCCCTTGGCAGCCAAATGCAACATCAAAACAAGTCTCATCCTGTGCCTTCCCCTGAAAACCAGCATGATCAAACACAAAGCTGAACATACATTCACAGCTCAAACAAAGGGTTGAACTGCAGCACTTACGAGCATCTCCATCTCCGCTTTCTCGACCACCTGAATGTGACATCTGAGTCGTGTCCATTGACCTCTCAGACCAAACCCGGTTGGAAGACGTGAACCCGTTCCTCAAAAGGTTGCCTCCCTTGCATTCTCTGCTGCTGCAACCTCCCAACCAGGGTGTCTGTCAGTCCTCGTCTGAAGCCTCAACTTGCATGGTCGCGCTGCCAAATCGCATTCCCCCGGCGAAAACCAGCCTGCTGGCCTGAGGTTAGGTGTAATAGCAGGGCTCTCGCAACCACAGGGAACACACAAAGTTCAAGGGAAAGAGAGGAGGCTTGACAAGGAGACTGTAAAGGCACTCGTGAGGCCGCAAATTTAATATGGACAAGCCGTTGATCCTGCAAAGTTCTGAGACAGGTGTAGATGTTCAGGGATTCACAAAGACAAGCTCTCCTGTAAAAACAAACCGTAGCTAGAATGCCCCTGAAAATGCGAAGCTTTTTCTGCCTTCAGCTGCAGAGCTGGCCTTTTCCATGGCGACCGACAGATCACATTTGATACTTGTGGAGGTATCTGTATGACACAGCAGTCAGACTGACAGAGGGAGCTGGCAAATTTTAATGTTTTACAACGCGCCATTTACAGCTACAGGTATGCGCAGCGGCTCCACCCGGTAGATAGAAGTTAACCCAAGCATTAACCAAGCGGTTCAAGGCACACTACAGAAATGACCACCTTAACTCCAAAGCTAACCGCATCATCTCCCGGGCTTGCCCGGATCATAGGGCGGCTTCTTTTAATGCAATGGATTTGAGAAGTGTTGGCCCTTGGGTATGAATTGGATGAACCGGTCTACCGTCTGGCCCTGTAGTTACTCATCATGATGACAGATCCGCAAAAGATCGCAAATGATGCCGGGCGCAAACTCCGTACGAGGCTAGCACTCCACGTGGACCACTGTGACGCATGCAGTCTGCGTCAGGAAGGTAGATGACGTTGGCTCCAGATACGGTACCGTACGGACGGTTTGACGGTACTTTACGGCCTTTTCACAAGAGGACAATTTGATGTTCCAGCATCCAGACCAGTGTTAAGATTGGGTGTCCCCTCTCAGGTAAAAGTGACACCCAATGGCCAAAATTGACCCCAAAGGGGGTCGCCAGGGTGTCCGAAAGACACCCAATGAACGAAGCCAGGGGGTCCCAAGGACACCCAATGACAGTCTTCATGGATGGCTATCTGTGCCCCTGTACATGATTTGGGGGCATAAAAGCCATTTATAATCTCTGGTCTTCTAGAATATAAGTTGATTATTGTGCTTATACTATCTAATACAATCTTGTAGATTGGATTTGGCTCTTTTGGTGGTCGGGGCAGCTGTTACCCACACTGTACAGACGTTTCATGGGGCAGGGAGGGCACAACAAGTGGTTGAGACGCATGGCCGGAACAAAGTGTGCACCGGGGCAGTAGCGCCAAAGAGGGACACCCAAAACAGCCTTGAAAGGCGTCCTCGGGTGGGACACCTGGGGACACCCGATTGAAAGCCTCGGGGTGTCCAAAAGACCCCCAATGACCACTTCGAGGGTGTCCCGGGACTCCCAATTCAAAAAGTTAGTCTTAACACTGATCCAGACAGTTTGACGGTTGAAACTTGACCCCACTTTGGCCCCTTCCAGTTGGCACCACCGGATTCGATTGTTGTGCTCGTTCATTAGCCACGTACGTGCGCATTATTTTACCTTCGGAATTGTCGCCCTCTGAAACCGAGTTAACCCGATTTTACCTCAGTATTTTGGAATTTGGCACTGCAGGACTCAGGAGGTGTACCACCGGATCGTAAAGAGGACGTTGGGGGACCGGTCCCCCTGACGTCATATGGCGACGGTAGACCGTGCCCCTCTGGGGTTAGGTCGCCAACAACCTAAAGTGGCGGTAATATTCCCCGAGTTCAATTTTATGCTAATGCCTGACCGGTTTAACGACGGCGCCCCGAATGCCGTCGATGCGGCCGAGAATCCAACTTCTGCAACGTCTGCTGGAGATCAAACGACCGGACGATATAAGCTTCCACCTTCCTGAAAATACGGACGACGTCAAACTCTCCGGCCGTTTCAGCCCTGAGCCCGGACAGTTTTTGGCCCCTAGCGACAGTTTGACGTCAATTTGGCGACCATTTGCAAAATCCTACGGTGATTGATTGCTTGACGTGGCACCGAATTGTCGCAGGACTGGGGCTCTGAAACGCCCCGGTTTATAAACTGTCGTCAAACTGTCCTCTTGTGAAAAGGCCGTTACTCGGCGTTAGTCTCCAAGGGGGCACCAACTGATGGTTGGCATAAAATGAGCGGCGGAGATCCGTCGCAGAGATGCCCTGCCAGATCGGACGGTTACTGCGCGATATATGTCAGAGTTCCGGCACTTTGACGTTATTTAGGAAACTTGTGCCGTAGAGGAATGCATGTACGGCACCCCCTAGGCCGTGAAGGGCTGCCGGTCCGGAAACCAGGGAAACTTTTACACCGGCCGGTGGACCACGTGGTATAACCTCTCGTAGAACCGCTCCGAAACGACCTACGTTGCATGCTTTAAAAACCCAGATAAACCACGTTGCAGCCTTGAAAAACGAGATAAAATACGTGGTATAGCTGAACAGCAGGCAGCAGTCTCTCGGTCGAATGACCAAGGCCGGAGCAGCCTTGACCAGAAGGGGTATAAATTCTCCCATAAATCAAAGTGGTTTTATCACATTCCGCAGGTCCGAGTCTGCATGCAAGCCGCAACCCGAGCCAATGCAATTCACCAGGGACCATGCAATGTCAGCAGAAGGGCTCCCAAGCTCTCAATTTAGGGTTTGAGGACCAGAAGAGCCTGCAGACTGGACGATATATTGTTGATCCGGCTCTTCTGTTCAGCGAAACGCCTGTAGCCAGCAAGTGCGTCTTATGCAAGCAGCCTCTCTTGATCAAAAGCGCGCAAGAAGCGACACACAGAATCACTTTCCGCAAGTCTCAGCAGTCTCTCCTTGGGTTTGCCATCTCGTCGGCTGTCAAATGCAAACAACGCGCGCAGCCTTTGTGTCTTTCTTGCGTGCAACACTGGGTTGGCATTGTTCATGTGAGCGAGAGGTCAGTGACAGTATCACAAAAGCAGGCCGCAACCAGTGAGACGTGGTTCAAGCGTGAATCAAAGAGCACTCCCTGGAAGCAGGTCAAAGAGCTCACAAGCGGTTACATAGAGGAGTTGGCGGTGCAAGATGCGTTGAGCAGACAGTCAGTCACAGGCAAGGTAGCAAAATCCGCTGCAGAGAGCGCGCTCAACAGGGGGAAAACTGCTGGAGCGGACGTTAAGCGCAAGTTGCAGGTGAGTGCAGTGACGTTCTGGTTTGGCTTTTGACCCCTCAGAAACTGCCGCGCCCTGACGTTGGTCTCATTTTTGGATGACGCCCTGGCACCACCACCTCTTCTTTTTTCTTCAGTCAGGGTTTTTTGGATGAAGGTTCCATGATTGAAAATGAGGTGCCAAGGTGCCATAGGTGCCACGCCGTAAAAGTTGTGCAGTGCAATCGTGTAGTAATATACTTTACAAGTATTAAAAAAAAGGTGTCAGAAGGTGTCAAGCTTCACCACATAACAACTGTACAAGAGAGCAGCTCATTGGTCAACTTTTCTCTCAAATGCACAGAAATTCGATTGCAATTGACTGGATCTAGAGCTTTTACACTGCTTTTGTGGTCAGCAAGTACAAATTGATTGGGAAGTCGCAATGATTCTGCTTTATTTTTCAAGTACCTTCTTGATTGCAGTGGCTCACTGGTAACGTCTCTTTGATATTCCACTGCCGGCTAGTCGCAATGGCCAAAGTACCTGATGCTTGATTGCAGTGACTCACTTCAAAATCCTCTTGTCCGCAGGAAGACCCCTCTACATCAGGCGCCGAGTGTCCAGACAGCAAGGAGCGCTGTCATGCCGATGGCGCGGCAGTTTCTTCTCTCACCTCTCAGGCGACGAAGTTCCTCGCGGGCGTTCAGAACGGGACGTGCTCGATCTATGAGCTGGGAGACGGTTCTGAACGGGGAGACGAGGGTTCCCCTGGCCTGGTCTTCCTCATGACCGTCTGGGCAAATGGCAGGCCAAAGCCGCTTGGACGACCGAGCAAATCCACAGCCCTGCTCGAAACGGTCCACTGGGACACCCTTGGGAAGCCCAGCTGTACCTGCGACCGCGGGCGCCTGGGTCCGGATGCTCCATGCGTCCACAAGTTGGCGCTCGCGGCTTTGGGGTCGCGCCAGCAAGCCAGCCACGTTGCGCTCCAGAAGGGCAGGCGGGTTATCAAGGTTCCGTGCAGCAGAGGGGCTGAGCGGGTCTTTGTCGTCTACTGGAATGCAGCTTCCCCTTCTCCCAAGCGGACGATGGTGCACAAGGATGAGGGCGCGGGGGAGGAGTGGTACTGCCAGGGCAAGCAGTCGGGTTGCAGCACGTCGGGAGACTGCGACCACATACGCGCTGTCAAAGACGCTCTTCGGAATCCAGGCAGAGGCATCGTGCGAGTCACGGTGAGCGGCTGCTTGTTCTCCAATGACCAGCTGGCAAGGGCACGTGCCTGGTTGCTCGAAACGGACCGGAAGGAGGAGAGGGAACGGGCGCCGGAGTCGAAAGAGGGAAGCTCAGCAGAAGGGTCGTCCGGCCTGTCTTCGGTCGAACGGTACTTGATGGAGCTTGTCGTGGGCCAGCCTCATGAGGCCGCAAGCTGCAAAGGGGCCTCGTGCTTCTGCAAGCAGCACCAGCAGCTCTTCGGTGGGGCAGATTTTGAGCGGGGGACTTGCGAGAACGGGTGCTGCCAAGTCGGGACTGACGCGCGCGAGGCCGGGGGGAAGAGAGGAAGACAGGAGCCGGGAGGTCGTGGCTCAGAACGGGTGCCAAAGCGGTCGAAAACGTTCTGGGCAACTCAGTCAGAGCGGGAAGGTGGGCAATTGACAGAAACGGGGGTGCTGCAAGCTGAAAAGGAGGAGGTTGTGCCCACGCACACCGCGCCACAGGCGTTGAGTGGAGGGGACGGAAGGGACGCCATGAGCGGCGTAACCAGAGTGTGCACAAGCTGCGTATGCCCGGCTTTGGCTTGCCCCCATGTTGCCGGGAGTCCGCTCTGGGCTCCGGTACTGCCCTTCGACGCGAAAGGTGTGCAGCTCGAGCTCCCCAAGCTGGTCCGGCCGACTGACAGCTTCGAGGTGCACGATCCGCTGGTGACGTCGCTGCGCATCGGATAAAGTG